TTTTTAAAATGCTATTGCAGGGCTGCACCACCACAATCAAGAGTGGATAATTCAAAAATGACATCACAAGCTTGATATTGATATCTGAAAATGTTGGTTAATAATGAACCAGCAYTCAATGCCATGGAATCCAATCACTWCATTAACAATCAACATGGGTTAGACAATGCAGATGATCTTCGTATTGGTTAAAGCTTGTGATCAGTTTTCATGCTTTATCAGTTAAGGTGGCTTTCATTTATGAGGGTTAAATAAATCGAGGGGACGAGAAGTCAGATTTTGTGTAAATTTTAATTGCTTCAAAATAAGGAACTCCTGCACATATATTTGGTTGTACAAATTCTCATAGGTTGAAAAGCCCTATGACTAGATTTCATTCTGACTTTAAATGAACTTGTGCTTGACAAGCTGCTATYGAAACAACATTTATGGATTTTGAAATTCCAACTTAATGGGACAAATTTCTAAGAATTTGATACCCGAATAATAAATACGCCCAAACTCTAATCTGAAAAGAAAGTTATGGAAGATTTGATGTTATCAATATTATTTTTTCAAATATCAATTTTTCTCAGAGTTCAGGCAACTTTTTTAAAAAAAAGTTTGCAATATGCTGCCCAAAAGAGAATCCCTGGCACAAGAAGAAAGCATTTAATAACTATGTTTTGTTTTTTTGATAGCAACAATGTTCATCTGAATTTTTTGAAAAGCTGTTTTTTATGTCCTTTTTAAATAAATAGTATATTTTGATAGGACTTGAATGAGATAAGTACATCAATAGCCATAAATACAATCAAAATGTATATATTTTATACTACAATCAATTCATATTAATGCTTCAGAATAGCATATTTAGCAGCAGCAAGTAGCTAGAGTATAAAAATGTAAATCCACATCCGTAGTTGCACTGGGTGTTAATTAGCATGAAGAAAATCACACTTGTGTGTGCGCACTGTAACTTTTTAAAAAGTAATTGATAATTTGCTGCTTCAAGATTTTACATGGCTCACAAAAATAATAATTATCTCKTACACTAAAAMAYTKTTTYGAGGGCCATGAATATCRTACATTGAAACACAATATATTTAGTAGCTTTAAGATAATTAGCTAGAATAAGAGTGATTGCAATATGCTTATCACAGGCAGATTACTAGAATTATGCACATGGAACATTAATTTGTATTATTCAGAATATGCATGAGTGCATACCATAAATCCTTGAAAAAGTAACAAAGTTGTACAAATAAGTGCAAAGTTGTGTAGGTCTATGGTCTACTAAACTTACTAATTTGTGCAATTTCTTACAAAGTTTTTCACAGATATATGGTATGCACTCCATTAACATGTCTGACAGTAATTAAGCATTGCCATACCCCCTAGTCAATCTCACTTTTTCATTAGGAACAAGTTTTTATGCAAAAGAAATGAATGCATGCATTCGAAGATGATGTCATTCAATAAATCTTCAATATATCCAAAATAATATTAGTTGGAGTAAAAAATCAAATTGGGAAACCTGGATTGCTTGAAAATGATTGCACTAGTCTGTGCATATTGCTTATTTATGCTGTGTGTAATTTGTTTCAATATTCAATCTCTTAATAGAGCCATATGCACGACTCATAATTTCAAAATTGATAAAAAAATTCTATTTTGACAAAACCCTCAGCTCAACCACTGTGTTTTCCTACTTCACATTGTGTCCTGAGAATGATTTCTTTTTCTTTTGGTGAAACTTGGGGTTTCCCCCAAGAAACAGACATAGTCTGAGATGGGAAAACACCATGCCTAAGCTGAAAGTCTATTTTGTAATAATGTACTACCGGTATGTCATATTCTAGTAGAAGGAATCAATTTTGGACATTCGGATACGATAACAATTATGATTATTACTACTAATTTGGGACTTTATCCACTTTGTATGCTATGCAGTTAATACTGTATTTTTCTTTCAAATGCATTTGTTTTTGTGTGATGGAGGCATTTTTTATTGCCTAAAGAATTAATTCATGGTCTACATATTTTTATACAATCTGCAGGAGTATTAAYCTAAAATTTGGAGTATGGAAACATTATTTAAGGATAGCCACTATAMAGTTGTATGTAATTTTGATAATGGCAATTGATAGATGTTTATTTTTGTACTCAGACATGTATTTTGTAATTTGTTGTAAAACAAAGATACGATTCATTTAAACTATTTACTGGTATTAGTGTTTTATTGTATATTCTTTGCGATAGTTCAAAAAAGTCTCTAAAAGGAATGCAAAAGAAATGGTCCCCGAATATTTGTTGAAAATATAAGTAGAAACACCTATGGTAGTTTTATAGCCCTTTACCCCACCCAAATGTTGCAGTCAGTGCCCTCTGCAATCATTTCTGCAATCAGAAAATGGGCCAAATATAATTTGCAATGCATTATATTTGAAACCTGCTCAACCCCAAAATTAAAATCACACTGTAGGAAAAACCATGTCATTTATCTTATCATTTGACTTGTTATTTCATTTATATAACCAAAGATGTTCTTAATAGAACGTTGGGACTTTAAGACTCCATTGTCTGCTTGAATAAGGTATATTTTTGATTACTGATTCCAAATCAATAGAAAAGGACCCACTTTCCCAYATGATTGCATCTTTATTTTTCATTGCTTTATCCTTTATTCTAATTAGTCTTTCCTTTGATGATGATGGTGAAGGGGGTGGTGATGATGATGGTGTTGATGAATGGAAGGTAGAGGAAGAGTAGAAGATAGAGGCACGAGTTTTTTTTTGTTTTGTTTTGTTTTTTGTTTTTGTGCGGCAAGCTTTTGCAGCCTAGGCAACTCCAGGCACATCAGGTTTTCTGTTGTTTTCTCCATCCATACGTTAATAATTAGTTTGGTTGAGAAAACCAAAACATCAGATGCATATCGAAGTTGTCAAGGCGGTAAAAACTTTAAACAGGTTCGTTTCTGCGTAAAAAGCGGATTTTTCCCTCGGAGATTGGCGAATACTGTCCTCTAATCTCCATTCTTGGATTGCTGGCGGCCTGTTGAACGGTAACTTGATAATTTTACCGTTTATGCTTTTCCAAAAGTTACGAATGCCGTTAGTGGTGCGGTACGTGGGTTTTCGGATTTCGACAAAGTATAAAATCATTTTAATTCACTGATATTGCTAAAAACATTAACAGCGAATAGCCTTCTCTCAATATCATCAGTGTTAACGAGGTAAGAATTCGTTACTTTTTAATTTCGTTAAGTAAAAGTTTTTGCACAATTGAACATTGCGCGTCCTAATCCCCGTACAAATGGGTATTTAAGACAGTTTTTCTTTTTTGTGTGAAATTTCTAGTTTGTCTAKTTGTTATAAAATAAATAAGGGAGATATTGAAAGGTTAATCCCCATAGTGGAATTGGAAAATAACCGACAAAACCATACAATATGAGTTCGGGTATTTTGCGAAATAATTTGGTTTTTTTCAGTATCTTAAAACGACCCCGCGCTTGTATGCTGGTACTAATTAAAGTGACAACGTGCCCAATCAGAACACGCATAGYATCTTAAAAACTTAGTAGTTTTCTAGGATATTCCTTATCATACAGGAGATAGAAAGATAAGACTGAGTGGGATGACACAAAAATCCCAACCTGTTAGAATCTGCAAATACCAAATCAAATAACCATGCAAGATYATCTAGGAAAATGCGTGGGAATAAACACTTATGTTGTGTTAAAATACTACTTGACGACGCAATGACGTCAGTTAAGCTCTGGATAGAATGGCACGACTAATGAATATGGTTAACACTATGATACCAACACCCACGCTGCTCTTCTATAAATATCAATTTTGAAATAAATTAACAAGATTTTCGCAAATGTGGACTGCGCAAGAGTGCGTAGTCGACAAAAACCAATCAAAACAYCGAAAATGGAAGAATGGATAGAAAGGACAAACAAGTAGGACTAAGTTTGGCATACCTGTTTTTTGTCTCTCCCTTTTTCTTCCTTTTTGTCTTCTTTTATCACTTCTCATTTTCTTAGCCAAACCTTGTCTTTGATAAGTTTTTCTCTTAGAGATGATATCTATTTCTTCTAAATACGAAGGGCTAGTTACGGGTGATGTTTACATTTGCGTATTTATTTTTTAACAAAATTTGCCTGTCAAAAATTAATGCCTTCACTTCAATCAATATCAAACTCAATGAATAATTTCTTTGAATCTTTAACCAACCATCTCTTCATTCCTCTTCAATTTAATTCAATAATCTAAGAATAAACATGTGCTATAATTCCATAGCACTAACCCGTTAGTCAATCCAGTATGTTATTTATTGATTATTTAGTCATACGTGCTTGTTAACCGGACAGGTTGCACTTWAAATTGCTTGTTTTTGGATCCAAATGAGGCTCTATTATATCGAGATGTACTTCATAATCATTTTTACTCGCTTTCATTTTTTACTTAAATTAGATTGTACAAAGAAACGAAACAGAGTGACATGTACTCATATACGGCTATTTAAAAAGGAGCGAACTTTGATACGTAAGCATTCCAAGATCCTAGAATAGCTGGAATGAGTGGTGTTTCTCATATTGTTTTCAATAACACAGAGGTTAGTCTTTAGATATTGACGAAACCATTTAGACACCTTGATTATTCCTGTTTAGATGTATGCCCACAATTCCTTTCGGTAATGCAATCGCCAGTCACCCATTCTCCGTTCGCCACTTCAACCTTTTTTTGAAATAGTTGTATATAAAAATATACCGATATATCATCGAAGAAAATTTTAGTGCTAGGTCATTTTGTTAGTTTTCGCCTTTAATTCGACGATTGTTCTCTGCTCCTCCTTCCTCTGCAAACTAAAGTAACACGCAAAATTCCAATTCGCCGCGTTCTGTGAATTAGCCGTGCCCTAACTCTGATCAGCCTAGATGTTGTTTTRGAGCATCGATAAAATTTTTAACGTAATAATGGGAACTCATAACTCGCTTTTTATCTGTTCCCTATGACATTATTCTTCTTAATTYTATGCGATCGCAGAGTAATTAAGATAAAGTAAAGTTTTACACTGCATAAAAAATGAATCGAATATCGTGAAAAATTCTCGATCGTTCGTCACCTGAGACCTGTCGTGCCTCATCTTAAAATCCATGCAATCTAAATACAAAGACGTCATAACGATTATCCAAAAAAAATATTCCAGGAAAACTATTGAGGTAGTTTTATGTTTAGTGGGTTTTTGAACATTAAGGTTTTGAACATTAACATTGGGGTTTTAGCAAAGATATTTTCATTGTCTATCCACTGAATTCCCGTTGAACTCCGTTAATAAAACTTTATATAGGGAAAAACTAGAAAATCKTTCGTCAAAGGGACCATGACACCGCTAGTTTTTACCGCATACTTTTTTAAATCAAGCGCAGTCAAAACTACTTCTCGAKAACTAAGAACGAGCAGGAACGAAAGAAAGAAAGATTAGCGTACCGTAATCAATGACAAAGCATAATTTTTCAAGGCTTTAATATTTTCCTCAATTATCTGCCTAATTATCCTCATARTCATCGTGGGCGTTTCAAAGAGAATATCAAAAACATTTACATCTTAAACCGCACCATTTCTATCGAACAAAAACAGACAAAATTCTTCTGGAGGTTTAAAGTKATTTTGATTTTAATTGATATAGGTTCTGTTCTAATGAGGGCCGAATTTCCATSCATCTGTCAATGAATGGATGTGATAAAACTTAACAAACACTTCAYAGCATCCAATCACGAAATGAGATACAATTAGTTGGGGAGATCGTAAATTGATTCAGATTTTTTCACAAAAAAGTAGCTTATGCAATAACCTTGTTAACCAATTAGCACACATCCGATTTGCAGGTAGCTTCCTGAAATAGCGAGAGAGGAAACTTGAGTGAACGCGTGTAAGCTGGAAATAWATCTAGAACTAACGACAAGACAATCATCAAGCTTTAACTGATACAAAGATTAATACCTAGCACACTACTGGGAAGGGACCCACAGTTAGTAAACTTCCTTGACTCCTTTAGAGAAAACATCCGTCAATTCATCTTTGTCTATCCGGCCCCGGGTACAGGTGGGCAGAAAATTCATTCAATTGTGTAATTGAGTTTTCTTAGTGCCGGGACCGCTTGGCTTACGCCCATAAATCTTACTATTTTTTTCTTTTCTTTCCTTTTTTTTTTTTCTCTCTCTCTCTCTCTCTTTTCTTTTTTCTTTTTAAAGTGAAAATAAAGATACATTTGTGTATTTAGTTACTCCAACGTAATATCAGTGAAGATAAAACGTGTGGCAAGAATTTTCTGATAAATAGTTGTAATAATGTCCCTAAGTTTAATTTTATGTCGCACAAAGACAAGCGTGCAGAAGAAGCCGAACTATTGTTCCTTCATGAAAAATTAATAACAAGTGTCCTTGTTCAGTTAAAGTAGAATTCTTGAACAAAGATTTACCATAACATCAGCCTGTACTTTCAATTTTTCGGCTACTTTTATCATTWTAATTCTTTTAATTGAATAATTCCGAGAACGATTCAACTAGAAAAAGATTCCAACACTTTTGCAGAAAATGTGAGTATTTATGAGATCAAGGACTTCTTAATTAGGCTTCTCAAAGCATACGGTCATACTTTTTTTTCCAAAACATCAGTATAGAATATAGTACTAGTGATATTAAGGTGTGAATTGGTGCCATTATCTCCAACCCAAAATAGCGGAGGATGATGTTTAGGCATATAAATGGGAACAAAGCAGAGCAGGCTTTTGCATTTAGAATCACTCGTCTCTGAAACAGCAATAACAATCAGCGGTGGTCTTCAACAAAGAGTTTAAAAGGGACTGCTGTATAGAGAGCTCTTTGTTCAGTGGTAGTCTTCGTTGTGAGTCGAGCAAGAGTCATCAGAAATCCAGAGCAGAATTCTTACTCGTGGCAAACATTTAACGAGGTRAGTCGAGAAAGAGAGAAAGCCGAATAACTTGCAGGATAAATAGTGCCATAATATCGACATGTACAGGAAGGCAATGATTATGGATTAATTTAGACTTTCCGGCTGAAGTTATATAACACTATCCTACTAATATGTTTATTCAGCTACTTYAGAAGTATTTCGATATACTTCAAGCATTTAAAGTACAAAATTACTAAAAAATAGATAAAAAGTCAGTCAAAGGGAAATATTTTTTTTTTGTAGCTTTTAGAGTTTGAAAACAAATTTGAAAGGCTTCATATYTATTCGACTAAAMGTGCTGTAGAAGGTGTTTTAAAKAACTYYGTAGTTAAAAAGTGTCGAGATCTRTTTACKGAATGAATTTCWGGTTTTTCTCAGTTTCTCATAATTYAGTTCGGTACACTTTGCCTAAATTTAGATTTTGAGATTATTCGTTGTGACGTGGAATTTTTTGTACCTAGAAAAGGAAATTAAAAAATAACCAGTCAGCCAGAAAAGGGGAATTAATGCTCTACGCAGTATAGAATGATTGAAGTAAATAGTTATGACAGTGAATATAAGCAGGRTGTGGTATCATAATGAGGCACCCGTGGCCTGGCGCACGTGCTAATCAGACAAAACTATAACCTGTAGAAAGAACGCACAGCTAGAAATGAAAACAAAACCTGTGTGATAAAAGAGAAAAAATGATCTTATTTAAAGGCCTTTATTCAGTAACTAGTGATACAAGTCAACGATGAACGCTGTATAGATGAAGGGAAATTATGTCTTTAGTGATAGTTTGCGTTTCAAAGAAAGAGAAAMATATAAGCATATATTCAGTCACTAGTGATCGACAACAATGTCAGGACGCTTCATATAATGGGGAACCATGTCCGCTTTAGTGTCTTTTTTGCGCGGTTTCCGGCTAAGAAAAAAAAATTTCGTTGCGGAGAGGCATTATCTTGGATCTAAAATCTAATACYAACTTCTCACATAAGGCCAGCGCTTAATCCGATAGTGAAAGTAGACAAATTTGTTCATTTACATACAAACRAGGCTTAGTATTCTTATCGTTACATAACCACAGTGGTTCGGAAAAGAAATTATTCGATATTTTCGATATTATTGTCTGTTGAATATTTTAATCTTCAGTTTATACTTCTGGGAAAAGTAAAGTTGAGGGGGTCAGGTTGCAATTTGGACGTAAGTTATGTTCATTTCCACCGTCACATCTTATTTATTTTGACTTTTTGTGCTAAGGTGTTGGCCATTATTGTTATTTAGTTCTTTCGTACTGTTATTTTGGTGACGAACTCATTAAAGTAAAGTAAAGTAAAGTAAAGTAAAGTAAAGTAAAGTAAAGTAAAGTAAAGTAAAGTAAAGTAAAGTAAAGTAAAGTAAAGTAAAATAAACTAAATTTAAAAGCAACCTTTTCCTTTTTTGTAACTTTCACAGATGAACCAACTGTGGTTGATGACAATGGTTGCGCTACTTGCGATCAATGTGATAGCCCAAGATGAAGGTGAAGAGCACTTTTTGAACTTGGTTCGTAAAAAGGCTTGTGCAGGACGGTCCTGTAGTGATGTCAGGCAAACTGAAACTGACTTGACCGAAGAAGAGGGAAAGATGGACGATTCATCTCATGGGGAAGGTGATGACGAACAAGATGTGACAAGTTCCATTCAAGCACCAGCAGTAAAGTTGCGACAATCAAGCACAGTAGAGAAGTGCAAGACATTGAGATGTCGGTTACGATATGCACTTGAATCACACAAAGACGTCGATCAAGAATGGGKTGTCAATACTGACAAAGACGATCGTAGTGCGGACGAACCAAAAAAGAAATGCGTGGCATGGAATTGCAAACGTGAAAATGTCTTGTCGAAAAAGAGCCAAGTTACCGACAACAAGAGATGCATGTCWTGGGGTTGTAGAAAGCGAAGTCTAAAAGCCGCCTTCAAGCGAGATAGTACCACGACCMGTAACAATGATGAACTGAAGGAAGACAATCTACAAAGACAAGAGCKAAGCGACGTCGAAAAGAATATGCAGTCTAAGAGATGCATGACTAGGGAATGCAAAAAAGAGGAAGAACTACTGACTAGAAATATAAAGAGAAAAGCCTCAACAAAATGCTTGGCCTGGTACTGTCAAGGAAAACGCACAGTYGCAATGAAGAGATCAGGAGAGATTGATACATCTAAAAGAATAATCAGTAGGAAGCCAGAAGAAGACCTTGCTTTGTTTGATTTATCGAGGGATGGAAAGTGTAAAGGCTTGGAGTGTCTAACCAAGCGCATGATAAAGAACAGYAATTCTGATGTTGCTTCGTTAAGCAAAAAGAACAAAATGCTCCCGGGATGCATAACCTGGAACTGTTATGGAAAACGCACTGCTGCAAAGAAGGAACCCGCAGCGATCGACAGCTTCAAGAGAATAATCAGCAGAAAAAACGACAAGGASCTTAATTTGTTGGGTCTATCGGATGAGAAGTGCAGAGGCTGGGACTGTCTTAAGAAGCGTGTAGTCCATGGGATACAAAATGATATACCAACRAAGTGCCTATCATGGGACTGTGATAAGAGAAGAGCAGATACTGGYGAAAGCAGCAGGTCACAAGGAGATATRAGKGARCAATTGCACGAGAGCGATACAACRCACTATGGCATACCTGATGAATATAAAGACATGATACGAATGCCAATCAGACGCGACGTTTTGGGGCGTGTTTCATCATATTTTACAGAGAGAGGTTCCCGACGCACTTTACAAAAAGATATTCACGAGAAGTGAGGTAAGTAAAAATGAAGACTGGTTAAAGAGGGGTTTGAATAAGGGACAAAATCAAAATGRCAACATCTTGCACTTCATTGCCCAGATTAAAATTCTATAGACATCTCAGGTTTCAAAAAAAATTGTGGAGCGGAAAWCTGAAAGCGAAATGAATTTAGATATGAAAGGAAGTGATAATTGTTTTGCCTTTTTAATAAGCAGTTCCACAACGCCAGCACCATGACCGATTACCTGCGCTTACAAATTGCGTCTTAGATTCAGTTTCAGATTTCCGATCTCCGACCAACAACGTTTTTTAGAATTAAGCTGTATATACAGGATAACAGTTGTTTAGGTCAAGGCCATTTTCGGAGTAATAGGTTCGGTGAGAATACCGATTGAAGGGCCTGGGCTGTAAAACTGACATTCAAACATTTCTACAGACACTCCATGTTCTATCTGGTAGTGTTTAGTTAACTTATTATATTTTTTTGCTTATGATATTTCAGGCTAGACAAGGGAGAGAAGATGAAGCACAAGATAAATTAAAATGTGAAGTCAAATTAAGTCAACTCATCTAAGGAACTCTTTCTAGTTTTTATTTTGTTTAAGTGTTCACAGACATAGAATTGCCAGCTGAAAGCTTTCGAAATATAATAAAGATTAATTATCTAAATTACAAATGCAAGACGACAAGCCAAATCATTGTCTTTTTGTCATTGCATCAGTCATTCATGTTTATAGGTGCGGGAAGTAATGCATTCTTCTTACCAAACACACAACGTTTTGGCGGGTAAAATATCATATGACGAACCCGACAATTCATGAATATAAATATATGCAAAACAATGAAATAATGATAATTTGATGTATTAAGTAAAAATAAAACATTCKTGATCAATAGACTAGCCCTTGAGTCGGCTTCTTTCTGGCAGGTATAATAATGGTACGCTATTAATAAACCTCGGTTGAACTTGATAATTACAGTAAATATATGAACCTCGRCTTGGAATCATCGCTTCGTGGTCTCTCAAACGAATTCGGGAAATGCTATAATGAAAACTAGTTTACCCAAGACTTCTCCTCTTTAGACGCTCTGGGTTTCCAGTATGAAGATGTGTTAGCCAACATCCACGCCCACTCCACCCCATACTACGTTTCTGGCTAGCTCTGACTTAGAAAAGCTTTATCATACAAATTTTTGCCGTGACTAAAGTGAAAGAAGAGTACAACTAGGATAAATATCAAAGGATACTGAACTATATGACTTTTAGTAGCAAGTTCTTATTGCGCAGGAATCTTTGATAACAACATACACCGTGCCAGACTGTTAGCTTGTAAAAAGAAAACCTTCGAATCTTCATCGATATCCTGAAACAAGTACCCCTATGGGCTGATCAAAATCAGGGCATGCCGGGATAACTCACAGATCTGAAACAACCTTTGGGCGGATCAAAGCCAGGGCACGGCTAACTTACAGATCGAACCCTGAAGTTCAAACATGGGGGGGCAAACATGAAATTCAATTGGCTAATTCTCTCATTTTTATTTTATTTCTGATCAAGAATTAAAAAACAAAAACAAGTAAAAGGAAGCAATTCTACAGCAGGCTATGTTCTTTGTAAATGTAGATATTCAATGCATACAGTCTAAATAACACCTAGTCTTGGTTGAGGTTTCAAACAWTTAGGGAGTTAGGAACAGTACACTACTAAGGATCGTTTCAAACTTGCTGTTAATCGATAGCCTATCAGAAAGCGCAGAAAATGAAATGGATGATTAACATGCAGTTTTGATATCAAGATATTGCMGCGCCTTCGTCTTAATAACAGTAACTCTGGTTATATTATTTATATGTTGTAAGCTCCTAATAAAGTTTATTATTCTTTTCTCTACTTCTGGTAAGAACTTCAGAAGAAAATGATTCTTCAAAAACAGTCACTGATGGTTTTACTGGCGGGTGCGGTGTGACTGATTGTGGTGCGCGGGAATCATGCGCAGGCGTACAGGACGCTGGTCAGCATGGGGTGTGAATTTGCAGTCGGCGTACACCTATTAGACCCTAGTTCTCACATCGTAAAGTAAAGCTCAATAAGATGTTTACTTGTAGTTTGGACCTGTAGGAAGGAACGATTTTTAATCTACGAAATCTAATTTACTTAATTAAGGAAATAGGTATTCAATCATTTAGGTAAATGCAGGTTTAAATCAAAAAACCTTTTTTTGTMATTCATTTCTACGATATTGTCCGTAATTGAGATTTTCCGTACAAATTTAAAGCGGGACGCTTGCCACGAATGCGCGCCTTTTCCTCTTTCCTGTCTTTGCGCAGTCTGTCCAATCAAATCCAAAACATGAAAAAAGGAAAAATATCAAAATATTGGGATTTTTTATAAGCGCAAAAAGGAATGYTAATAGAATAAATTGTAAAATCCAAGTTCATGGAAAGATAAAGACACAAAGATTGGCAGATGTAATATGGACTAGTTCAGTATAAACTGATTCGCCGTCTCAGTTAGCCAGTGTAGCATACTGAGTGGTTCACTSTTGTTTTTATACTTTATAACTGTTTCGTCTTGCAGGATTATCCTCCWGACCGTAGGCTTGTGACAACTTACAACTTCAAATAGCCGAAGACTCGGAGATAGGCAAAACACTGTAACTGATTCGGGAATCATGAAGTGGGCGTTAAATGGAAATGTATTTTTAATTGTTTCCTAATTTACCGCTGCGATGCCAATCAAAAATGATTAAATTTGTCCTTGGTTTTCTCTTAAACCATTACACAATTTCCTTGCTTTTTGTCCACTTCACTTCCGTACACAMTGGTATGGTTCTTCAAACCTAGAGGCAATCTCCTATATAAGACTATACAGACAAAGGGAGTTATGCTGACAGTCATCCATCTGGATTGTTTGACAAGCCGATACTTTGCAGGTGAGGTCTATAATTTTCGTTCTTTTTATTTTTTAAGTTTTATTTACGATAAAATTTCTCGTGGAAAGGAAGGAAGGAAAATACAAGCACCACTWAGTCGTGTAAACATGTTTCAAAGCAGTAGCTTTGTAGTAATGTGAGGTGTATTATTTTCTTAGAAAACTGTATTTGTATTGTTCAGTACCTTAATATCTATTGGCAATCATATAGGTGTGTTTGGAATGAGATGTGTGGATGGTGTGCCTTTTGAGTTCTTAATTATATTCGTTTCTTATTAAAGTGTATATTGAATGWAAGACTGAGATTACTTTAAAGTCTACATGTGCACCATTTATGTAAATGATTGTCATAACGGCTGAAGATACTGACTGTTCTCGTAATCAGTGTACGATATCAATACYTCATTGAAAAAGTGCCAAATACATCATAGTTACATATATAATTAGCACTTTGATATATCTATCAAAGATACCTAGAATCCATTAAATTGATATTATTATGATAGATTTGAARAGAAGATGTCTCCTCAGTTTTTACATTTTAAAAATAAGCAAGGAAAAAAAAACGTTAACAGGACCACGATTTTATCCAATTTCTGTTCGAATTGTTTGGGTATATTGCACACGTTCTATCGAACAGAAACTTGTATGTATGCGTTGTTGATAACTAAATCTATGTAATTGTTTTTTCGGGTTTTTTTTTTTTTTTTTTTTTTTTTTTTTTTTTTTTTTTTTTTCTCGTTGTTCTTTTGTTTTGTTGTCAGGATAAAATGCATTCACATCTACTTCAAGTGTTTTTAGTCGCATGCCTGGTGTTACCTTGTCTTGGAACTGCCCTCAAGGAAGAGGGTACGAGAAAAGGGAAGAGAACGAAAGTAGAACAAGATACAGATAGTCTAAAAGGCGAAGAAGGGGAAGCATTTGGTAATAACGTGCTTACGAGTTCTGATGCCAAGAATGAAGGATTACAAATGTGGAATCCATTGGAATCTGAGAGAGAAAGCGGAAACGAGAAAAGGGCAACAAGAAAAGGGAAGAGAACAAGAGTAGAGCAAGACACAGATAGTCTGAAAGGCGAAGAAGAAACCACATTGGGTTACAATATGCTTACACTTTCTAAAGACAAGAACGAAGGATCGAGAAACTTGAGTCCATTGGAAGCCGAGAGAAAAAGACACGAAAAGAGGGCAACTAGAAAAGGGAAGAGAGCCAATATATAATCCTTCAGACAGAACAGAAGGATAACTGAATAACTCAGAATAGAAATTCGACAAAATAGAGATAAAATAWCAATGGAAAAATCAAAGTAAGACGTATCCAAATACGCTGAATATGGTTAGAAATGTTGTTTTTTATATAGTAAAGCTTGGTTATTGAAATATTGAAAAGTTGACTTGTAAATAAAGTGAGATTAATCTAAATAAGTGAAAAAACGCTTACCGATTTCTGTGAAAACTTATTTCATTCTGGCAGCAAAAGGYCTTTAACTGATTAACTGAGTGAATTCTGAAAATAAATGAAATAAAATGAGCTTTAACAACATTGCTTGATTATCTTAAAACAAAACAAAACGAACGAACAAAACAAACAAACAAACAAAACAAAACAGCAACAAACTACAGCAGTTGAAGCATTCTCGTTAAGTAAGAGAGCTACAAGATATACTGAGACAGGGGCGGATTTTTTCCCTCTCGACCCAGAAATACTTTACTCTGTAAAATGGTATAATCAGTACATCACTTTTAAATGATATATCAACTAACTTCAGCTGCTGCCTAAAAGGCCTATGTTGACCCGTACGACTCACTCCCTGCTACCATCGTTATGAGCATGGGGAGGTCAGGTCACGCCCCTTTTCCCTGTGCTTTGTTTAAATTTTCAAAAAATCGACGTGCAGTATTTTTTCCACACTTTTAGTGACCAAAATTTTAGTTCCGTATTAAGTATCATTTACGTTAATCCCAATATCCATTTACTCCCTGAGAACGGGCCCCTTCAATCTACCTCCTCTACGAAAATTATCATCTGATATCCCAGTTGGAAGCGAAGGGCAGCTAAGGGGAGTCAATGTTAAAATTATACGGCAGTTAAGGCTGTTCTGGTCTAATTAAAGGTAAGTAGTAAAAAAGTCCCGACGTTTAAGCAAAAAAAAAGACCTTTTTTTCATTTATTCATCCGAAAGTGAAAATAGAATAATCAGCGGCATTTCATAAAAAGCACGCGCATTCCCTAGCCACGTCACAATTGCATATGTCATAGTTGATTACCACAACAAATGGACTCTTGAAGAAAAATCGCCATGTAAACTTATTCTTCTGTGGCTTGTTTTAAAGCCTTTTATTAAAAAATCGCCTTGCTAGACGCTTCAATAGCACTATTCTGTGAGGTTATTATGCTTGGCCATCCCTAATGGGGCAGTTTCATGGGATTTTAGCACGAAAAGAGTCTTCGAGATCCAAAGAAGCTCTCCAGACGTTCCCAGATCTGGACAATCTTCCTCCAGAACTGGCTGTTGCTGTGTTGTCGAACCTTAATGCTACCGACCTATGTCTTGCTGCCTGTGTGTGGGATCACCTTGCAAATAATGATTTATTGTGGATGAGGTACGTTTATGGATTGATAAGCTTTCTACATTTTATTCCTTGAAGCTTTAAACTTCGATTTGCTGTACAATTAATTGACAAACTGGTATCGTTTGAGTAAAATTTTAATTGCTTGTACATAATTTCTAAGATCATATCTTGGGAAGAAATCGTATAACTGTTTCGACTTTTTTGTACACGAAACGTTACCTTCATTATYGCTGAAAAATATTGCAATACTGAAGTTTGCTCGCTAATATTCATTAAACCATTTTCAATAGTTTCTGTATCTGTTTATTTTATAAATTATCCTGACGTAATTGATCTAGCAGAATTCTAAATACTCGAAATGAATACTTCGAGCAATTTAGTCTAGTAGTTCTAGAATGCTTAAAAAAGTAAATGTAAATATAGCTCTTGATGTGCTATGTTTACAAACAGAAAACATTGTGATGTTGATTTAGGTTTGACATAACCCTCTTTTCTTAGTCTTTGTCTGTTGTATCGGCTGATCGAATTGCGGTTGGTAAGGTAACCATAAGAATCAGCTAAAGCTTGGCTAAAGCTTGAAATGAAGTTTACATAGATAGTTTTAATTAATATTATTAGATGCAAATGCTATATAATACAAGTCATTAGCCCTCTGGTTATGAGCCTACACGATCATAAGCCCAACCACTTGCATCTGCTAACATAAATTTCTTCCCAGTCATAAGCCACCTCCAATGATGGAGTACCTCTGTGCGCATGGACCAGGGGCCTCCCTAAGCCTGCATGGACACATGAACATTCACATTTCAAAACATTTACAGCTAATGTCCCATTGTTAAAAAGAGCACAATTAAATATTTTTGAATAGAACAGATTTCCAACATTTTTCTCTCTCCTCTTTATAAGTCCCCACTCCAGTTATAAGCTCTCCCAGTTGTAAACCACCTTCTGCCCAGATTATAAGCTTTCCCAAAAATYCTTATGAAATTGTATAGCCCCAGGGCTAACAACTGGGATTTATTGGTATACAAAGAGCATAAATGCAAATTTGGAGCAAAGTGTGACTTTTAGTCTATTCAACACAGCTGAGGCAACAAAAATATAAAGAAAAGCAAACAATAGATAGATTTTTAGTGCTGGATTGGTATGATTGAAGCATATAATATTTAAAATATGATAAGGCATTAGACTACATTAATTTTTTATTGCATGGAAGGAGGAGTAGCCTTCGAGCAGATGTTATATTTCTTCCCATCCATATTATTTTTCATGATAACTAATTAAAAATTAGAGATCACAAAACCCTGCTATAGAAATCTATATGTAACACTATATAAATCATTATCAAATCATAAATCAAAAACGTGATTAGCACTGTTGAGTGGCCCATTCTAAAGCCAGATTGAGGGCAGAAAAATAAATTTTGTAAGGGTACAGCAGAAGAGGCCATTTAAGTTTAAGCAACTGTCTATTTTAGTGCTAGGAAAACTTGTTATTTTAATTTTAGTTTTGCTCTTTTTGTAGCCTCTGTAGGACAACATGGAAGTATGTACCAGCTTATAAAGAAATGCGCAAGGTAAAATGTAAATCATACTTGATAYTATGTCATAGCCTGGCAGATCTGGGGAAGGGTAGTCTTTACCCCCACTTCTATTGCAAAACATGCTATGATAAAGACATGTAAATGATTGTCCAAGGTGTTAAAAAAACATCTTTTACTGTTTCAACAGAGTAACCTTCCATACAAATCCCTATATCTTCTCTTAGATGATGGAACCTGCTTATTTAATGTGTACCCCAAAGAGGTAGGCTATCGAAGATGGTCATATCAATAAATTAATCTATGTATTTTATTTTTATATTTACACAAATATATATGTATATATATATATATTTGTTTTTTGTTTTTGTTTTCTTGGACCCCACCACCCATGCCTTCCCTTAAATGAGAGAATCATGACTGAAAATCGCTATGTATCAACGATTATTGCTGTTGAATGGACTGGAATTGAGAATAATGCATTTATATTTTTCAGGGAATGCTGTTTTTCCTTAAACATAGTATCTTGGAAGACAGYGTAGAAGATATAGCATTATTTATAAATGGAGCAAGTGTGTTTCGTTCTGATGCAGTCAGAGATTATTTGTATGACAGGTGTGTTTATAAATAGATTCAACCAGGTATCATATGTAATCATGCAACATAGATAACTGAAGACTTCTGGGATAAAACGAAAAATTATAAAATGAAAAATTTTATATACTGTACTAAGAATAAAGCACACCTTGTAGTCCCCACAACTGAGCTATAATTTTCTTCAAAGAGCAATTCTATGATTCAACTTGTCATATATATTATAATTATTTTAGGAGGGACATTCTTGAAGAATTAATTAAGCTACAAACGTATTCCAATATGTTTTTACCAGAAGCTATGAGGTAAGCACAGCAATAGTTTTAAATTCATGGTTATGCCCTCTTTTATGTTTCTGAAACCAATTCTTTGATGTTTTGACTGGCTGTATGGCATATGCACAATGTACAGTAATCTTGTAAGTTTTGAATAAGGGATAAGGGACCCTTTATTGGGAATTGGAGGTGGTGGGACTTACTTGTTAATAACCCATACTAGAAATCTGACTCCACCCCTCCATTTTTGCATTAAAAATGGCCCTTCCCTTGTTTTCTATTGTTTATTGTAACCCTTCTATCTTGAGCCTGATTCTTTTGAATGACCCCTTCAAATCCCCCACCCCCCCCCCCCCACACACACACACATTAAAAAAGTAAACAATTCATAATTAGATGGTGTCATTTCATAACCATACAACATCATTTTTGACACGCAAACTATAGCTTTAGGAAATAAATATCCTAAAACTATAGTTTGTGTGTTTGGTGTTTTTTAGCACCAATTCTTTAGTTCAAAAATTTYCCCCCCTTTTTGTGCACAGAAAGCTGTTTGATTTGATACAACCACCAGAAGAAAGAGGTGAATACATTGACACATTAATAGAAGTGTTCAGCAGAAGATATTTAGAATGTAATCCCACATGTGAACTCTCACAAGGTAAGTTATACTTTCAAAGTAAATATTTGACTGAAATATCTTGAAAGTTCAAATGAAATATCTGAATCTTACAGCCAAARACCYRAAAMCAAMATATTTTCAAAATCCTGTTGGAAGACATACATATCTWCCTTRTGGTACTYTTTGGTTTTCTGAAATAATTTACWTCTTATCTTTCAATTTTATGGACTKAYTCCATGAGRMAGTCAAAATGGTGGCAAAACAAAGCATACCAARCTCTTGAACAGGAAGTGATTTTGCTCAATACAGTGCCTTCTGTGATTGGTTAAACAATTTCGTTATCTATAATGAAGGACTTCAATAATACATGAAGGCTCGATCTAACTTCGGTTTACTTTTTCTTTACAGATACACTAGTAATTCTATGCAACTCACTACTACTACTCAGTGTTGATCTAAGCAGCCCAAAAGTTAAAAATAAAATGACCAAGAGAGAGTTCATTAAAAATCTCCGAGGGGTAGTACACCCATCAAGTGTTGACTTTATTGGAGACCTTTATGACAATGTTTATCTACAAGGACATGTAGCTGTCCCAAAAGGAAAGTGCCTCAAAATACAAACTTTTCCTTTTGTACGACCTTATGGAAACATCTTTTTTGCTATATGACTTAAAACCTTTGTTTTATCAATTTTAGTCAAGAACAAAGTTTATGTACTCAAACGATAATACTGACAGGCTCAGTTGTTTTTATCGAATGCACTTGTGGTTATTTTAGTGATAGATATTGGTGCTGTTTTTGTACATTTTAGAGTATCTGAATAGACCATATTTGAATTTGTACGATATTGCTGTGTTCCTTGATTACAGACTCATTTACTCAGGGTTAGACTTGTTTCAGTGTGTTATACCAACAGTAAAGTAAAGAATGCACAACTTCAACAATTCAAACACTTTGAAATTTGACAGACCTTGACTGGAACACATAAATATTCTACACGAAATCACTTATTTAATCAAAGCAATGAAAATTGCTGAGAAAGATACACAGTGGGAATGGTCACATGGAGCAATAATGGGACTTAATGCTTTCTGATGAACCAACACTGCTTCAAGATCACTTCCTGTATATTAATTATTAAGCTATCAGTTTTAATTGCTAAGAACATTTTAGCTGATATTAATAACATCTTTTTATTTGAAGAACTAACTTGAATTCATGCCTTGGAAAGTGTAAGACAAAGACAACTGTCAGATAGCGCTATCCAGGCTTTGTACAACCAGACCCATAAACATATAGCAAAGAAATTTTATATATAATAGAATGTCAACATGTTAAATATTATCTAACAACAAGCACGATGATTTGCAATGTATAGCACTAGCATACATGTGTTTCTTTTGTAATAAAATAAAAATCTAAAATTGAATACTAAGGCTAAATATATTTTTTTGCACCTGCAAAAATACCATTAATATAACTAATGAAAAAGCGATCCGTTTAGACTACAGGGACTGCAGTGCAAAGTTTTCAGTGGAGGCAAATCATTTTTGGCTAAAAAAAATGGCGGGGGGGGGGGGGGGGTTTTTTCCCCCCCCCGCACCCCCTGTATTAATTTAGCCTTGAAGCCCCACTCCATGCATGCAGTCCCAAAACAGGAAAACACCTGACTCAACTGAGTTAGGAGGGAAAAGAGGGAGTGTTAACTGTGTGGGTCACTCGTTGCCCTGGGCAACAATTGCATTATTGAGGAAAATGCATGAAAACACATGGTGTAAATACTTCTAAGGAACTTTTCAAATTCTGAATACAATGTTTTTTTCTGATGTTCTTGCTTACAGTGGCCACCCAACTTATTTTTTACTAGTTACCCAATCTGACAGCGAGAATTTGTGCATTTGCACGTGCACTCACTCAGCGTGACCTGACTAAGTGATACATATTTTGGTCCCTTTGCTGGCTAACACTGGATACTTTCGTAAAAAGTATTTTAATTAATGAAAACACTTGGCGGGAAAGGATTCAACGGCAATGGGGGAAAAAAGGTGGGTGGCAACGGTTAAGCGTGTCGCACTGTAAGCACACAGACAGAAAAAATGATAGGTATTGTTTCCTTTCTTTTATACCATGCAATTGAAAATTCCTATTTTTCTAAAATCTTTGGGCGTAAGTCTTCTCGAGAATATTCATAGTTGGAAAGTTATCTTTGGACTTAAAAGTAGCAAATGTAAGATGAATTTCAAAGAAATGACGACATTTTTTTAACTGACATGTTTCGACGGTACCAACTGTCATTTTTCAGAGTGATTATACAAGAGTTATCTTTAAATTAAAAGACTTTCAAAAACATTCGAAAATGGGTGGAGATATGCCAAATCTACATCACAATAATGTAACCTGCAGCAATGAAATTTGCGTGACTTATGAAGATCTTTTCACATAAGCGATGAAAAGCACGATTAACGTAATGGTCACCAGTCAACAACTTCCATAAGTAATGTCAAGTAATGTTTCTGCTTCTCTGTCAAAGTCTATCACTTTCTGAGTTTTCTGATGGCCTGCACCGTCACCTGAATAATTGACTTAAGATAAATTTATCTGATTCTTCATCCCACTGAATTGTTTGTTTTAACCCACTATCAACTCTTTCATACCATGAATTCCTTGGAAGACTTTGCCGATAAGACGTCTTTTTGACATTCCATGTCCATTGTCATATTGTGAAATTTAATTTTTTTGCAAATTTGTTACATTTGCACTTTTTCCCACTTTTATATCACATTTAGTTGAAAGTCTTTCCCCTTTCCATTCCTTTTCGAAACTTCTGTTGTCGGGAGTTATATAGCCTAACGACATACAACATGCATATTTGCAAATATTGCACCTTTTTTCGCTTTTATATCTCATTTAGATAAAAGTCTTTCCCTTTTAAATTTCTTTTCGAAACTTCTATTTTTGAGAGTTATATGGCTTGACGACATACGACATTCTGCATAGCAATCAAGCCTTCTTCGATTGATACGATGAAACAAGGGTCAAAAAAACCTCATCCAATACGTGTAATCATTTGGCAAGTTAATCACAAAAGATATACATACTCCAGGGTTAGCAAACCGAGCCGAATAGGCGCCCACTGAAGCCATGATTTAGCAGTACTCAAAAAGAAAGTTATATCAGGGCAGGCAGCTAGTCTACTTAATGATAGATTTATGACTAAAACTTCTTTTGAACCAAGATATTACAAAGACCATGTTTTAAAATCCATTTTTCCACTAGTTTCTTTGTTTTCATCCATATACTTATTTTATATACTACATAAAGTTAGTCCAACAACCTAGAAAGCTGTGATCGCTGATAATCACGGGAAATATTTCATATCCAACAAGTAAAGCTTTTGACACAAACTGTAGCAGTTGAGGACGCTCAGAGGAGGTGAACTTGTAACTGGTAGAAGATCTCAAGTCCATCAACAGTTATCAAGCGGTTAAAACATGTAAAATGTATCTGCCCATGATCCTTGTCGGTCTCAGCTTTGTAGCTTTTCTGGTGACTAACTTTATTGAAATAAGTGTATAAGCAGCAACAGTAAATGCTGTGAGGATCAGTTTAGCAGGCTACACGGTATCGTACTCCAATTACTATCACTTCGTGAGCCTTTAACGGAAATTAGAGTCATTCAACAGCTCAATCGAGGTCACGTCCAATCGGGTTATACGATACAAGTATTAGCTACACTAGTGTACGATTATCCCCGCATCCCGCATCTCTTCCCTCCTTCCATCAGTAGAAAAACATTGTTCCATTTACAAATAATTGATTTACCTACTTTCCCAGGATAAGCATGGAAGATTTTCTTCACGGAGGGTAACGTAAGAAGGAATTGATAACATTCCCAGGAGGACTCCAGTATCGGATATGCTAATCGTATCTTTCAGGGGCAAAAAAAAAAGCAATTTGGTATATTTTAGGGTGTTAAAATTGAAATCTAGAATTTTGCATTAGTTGGTATATTTTATAGCATCGAAAAAGAAAGAGCCCATCGCTTTTTGTATTATATAATTACGCATAGCTTAGGTGTTTATAATACTTAGAATAATACTTAGGTAGGCATTTCAACAGCCATTTTTGGCATCACTTGGGGTTCTTAAATCGTCCAGCCACACCTTTCGGTATCTTTTACTCTTCAACATTTCCGACATACCCGATACTTTTAACCCAGAGTCTCCCCCCTCCCCCGAGGGTCCCAGTCATACTATCACAGACTACCTGCCATGCCATTACGTGCTCTCTAGACGTCGAAAATCATGTCAAAATCTGATAAAGTTGGTAGCTTTTCAAGGTGATGTAAAATGCCAACGAATTTCTTCTTGATAAAGGTCAAACATAACTCAGTCCTAGCTCGCGCATCCAGTGACCAAATATATAGAACATCTGTTCTGGTTATATTCTCTGTTGCCTATAAAATATACTTCTAGATGTGGTGATCAATACAAAACATACAAGAGGCAAACACCGCAGCCAATGGAGAAGACCTCACAACAGATGTCCAACGAACATAGTGTTTAGTAGTTCCTTTGTAAAAGAGCTTACATAATATATTAGCCTCGCTTATCCCCAAGGCATGGGTCGTGGAGGGTCGAGTGCTTTAATAATCTACTAATCCATAAGTAAGAAAGGTTAGAAGTTTCATGAAACGTCCAGCATAGGCGTCGCAGATATCTGGCAGTTATTGCAAGCTGCTGCTTATTTTCGCTAAAATATCTAAGAATCAAAGATAAAAGATAGGCCTAATGAGAAAATAGACCCATGTTTGAAAACTGTTGATGTGTTTTGATGGATAATTGGGACGCCTTGATTTTAAATGCCCGAATGTTGTGAACCCATTACGGAAGAAAAAAATTAACCAAAATGATGTCTAGACGCACAATTCACTTTCTTTCATTCCAAATGTCATTGATGGGCAGTTTGGGATGGGTAGGCCACAGTTCTTATTTTCATAACAAGCTAAATATCACCATTTCATGGCGTTGGATGTAAAGAAAAAATCCCCGGGGGGGGGGGGGGGGGACTCCGGGAAAAAAGTACCGGGGATGCTCGTCGTATCTCTTAGGGGTAAAAATTCTCGATTTGGTATCTTTTAGAGCGTTAAATGTGAATTTTTGAAAATCAGCCTTTTCTGGTGTAGGGTGTCGGAAAAGTAGAGAAGCGCGCATTGTATGGCTTATCCTAGGCGCTTTTTATATAAAATTTAATATCATTTGTTGTGGTATCTCTTAGGGGTTAAAAATCGTTCAGCCACGCCCTTTTTTAAAGACTTGCGGTATCTTTTAGGGGTCTTTTTGAAAATTTCCGACGAGCGTCCCCGGTACTTTTTCCCGGAGTCTCCACCCCCCCCCCCTCCTTCCACCGGGGAAAAAATGAAAAACAACTAAAGATTTTTTCAAGATAAGCATTCTTATCACAGTTTTTGATGTCGGTAAATCGTTCTTATATCCCGGCTTAAATCTATTATGATGGATGAAAGCAATAATATGTTCTTTAATGCTAGAAACGCTTTAGGATTCACTTATACTTACACGTGATAACATCCAAGAATGATAGAAATCAGTGCTAAGTATGGATAATAATAGGATTTGTAGAAATATAATTAGTTTTATTACACGTTGTCATGGCATATTTGCGTAGTGAGTATTAATCAGATCGTCGTGTGGACATTTTCTATTACAGATGATAAACTAAGCAATATGCAGGATTATTACCAATCTGTATCGAACTCTAATTACGTACATTTTTGTACAGTCTCCAGTGGTGCAAAAACGTTTTTTCTGCTTTTACATAAAATATTTTCTTTATTTTGGAAAGCAATTTCGAATTTTGGAGAAGAATGCGGTCTGCGCACTGATGATTGCGGCGATTTCTCCGATCCCCTACTCTGGAAAGTGCGCACATATTAGACTAATAATCTAAGAGTCATTACCTTTTTTCCACCCCTTAATTTTGTACCGTTGCTGCATTAGTCTCGTACTTATTCTAAATTCATTTTTCGGATATGTGGTTTATTTTGGACCATAAAAACTTAAAGGTGATGCGCCAATCGCTTGCTTTAAAAATCCATACAGCGGCTATATACGCGCTATACCGTATCTACCGCATAATATTTGTATCCAGTCGGACAAGTAGTATATGTAGAAGTTGTTCCATAAACATGGCCAGCAAAACAGATCCAAAAATTTCTTACAAATATCTCTTAGGATTATCATGTTATTTCCTTGGGATTATAAATGAAACCATGTAAAGATCCTCAAAAATGCATATACATATTACCCATAATCCTTTTATATGTCAGGGTTAACGTTATCGTTAACGAACATGTGCAAATATAAATCCTTAATAAGTGCCGGACAATCGTAATTTTCAAAACGATAACACTTTAAAACTCATAAAGCCCCTTATTAAGAATGACTAATAACTTAGATTTTAAAAATAGATAAAATAGATATTTTAATTAGTCAAAACCTACTAATGGTCTATCACAAATCCCGTACTATGATAGACTGACCTACAAGTGGTCTATTAGTATTAGACCATGCACTGATAGCGAAAAGTGTTAGTTTTGAAAATCAAAACAATGGCGTCTGATTCGCGTTTTCAACCTAATTTCAAACGTGTTTGTGATTTATCCATATATTCGGTCTAAAACAATAAGGCTTCGGCCCCATGGGCTATTGACTCGACCCGAGAACCACACATATTGGTAGAACTACAAATTACCGGTCAAACACTGATAGACGTACTTACCGGCTTAATAATATCGTCCAAGCCACTCTCGCCCTTCGGCAAGGGTCGGTTGATGTTAAGTTAACTGTTTTCTTGATTTGCATGGCCTATTCAACATAGCACTGTTGGAAAACAGAAGAAACAATTAATTGCTTTCTCACAAAAAGTTTAGAAAGCAATTTCAATTCTGGGAAATGAGAGAGGGCTGGAAAGGAGATGATGATGAATTTGAGCTGGGAAGCCTGTGTTATAATTGACTAGATCAGAAATAACTTCATTTATTATGACCCTTGCCAACTATTGTATAGAACACTCGAACGATTTACATCATTCTAGAAGTCTGCCAAAATACCATCAGTAAATGTAATTGATGAATAGCAAAACATCATGTTTTTCCACAGATGACGTCTTTCTGTCGGACACGTTTGTATGTTTTAGTTATGGAGATCTAGAGTACCGAGGATGCTTACGGTTTTGGCTCTTTTAGTTTCATAGCTTTAGCAAATCAATATCAAATACTTCTGCGAAATCAATCAATTATCACTATCTGACCTTCCTGTGATAAATGATGTGAAGTACTTTACTGCAATAGTATTTTTGTGTCTGGTCACTGAATCGCCGCGAGCAAAAACTAATGCTCTATGCTATGGTGTATATAGCGAAGGCCACATGTATAACGATTTTCACTATGTGTGCGGGAACATTGCGTCGTAATGAATATTGTATAGTCAAATGTTTCCACTACCGACGAAACTCAGATAACGCCTTGTCATTCGAGTCGCCTCGAGCAAAAACTATTGAATGAACGTGTTTAGTGATTCTCACTAGGGTTTTTAGAAGGCGTTTTTTATTTTTATTTTTCCTTCTTTCTTTTTTGTTTGTTTTTGCTTATTTTATTTTATTTTATTTTTGGCGCAATTCATGCGGTCTTACATGAAGGACCATGTTTATGTTGGTTTCAATAAACATTTTACTATCAGTATTCTGTTGTCAATCTTACTCAGATTTATACTGTTGAAATAATACCCACATACACCAAAATTATTTATATTCCTATTTATAAAACCGACGGAATCTGCCTCCGTTTAAACATTTTATGCAGATTTCTCTCGTTCCCGACAGAGTTTTCATATGCTTTCCAAACTATTGCCGCATGGCGGCATGACCTAATGATTGCTCCTTTTTCAAGTCATTGTTTTTTTTATTCACAGTTGCAGGCCTGAGACACATTTATTTTCCACATCATGACTGAAAACATTCTAGGATAGTAAGACAAATGCAATGATTCAAATGGAAACCCTCTCTCGCGCGCCCGAGAAATAAGGGACTCATTAAGTATTTGTTCCGGTATTTTGAGGTATTTGTTCCGATCATTTTAAACTGCGGGAGTTTGAACATAGAAATGGAATCTCACCTAAAAAACTATCATGTTTAGCCCTTATAATATATAAATAAGGTTTTCCTACGCTGCGTGCTAATATTGGGTACAATCAGTGAGGTCGGACACTGATGCTCCCTGATTGCAATCAGACTTAGAGCTCACGGTACCGCAGTGTTGACCTAAAGAAACCTATTAATAAACGAAAAGGCTGACAGAGCTGCTGAAAAAGAGCCGGTGAGCATTTCCAACAAGAAATAATTGACATATATAGACTGCTGAGGGATTAATAAATTATCTAGGAGCGCTGAATAAAGAACTGAGAGTGCCGCAGAGTTCTTGGCAAGAGTGTTAATTTAGCAGGTAAGAACTGCTTTGGTCCTTGAATGAAAGTGATGGCAATTAAAAAGAGTTCATAGAAATATTAGAGACCGCTTGCCGAGATACGTTTGGTCCTTATAATCAGTTTACTTTTTCTCAATAAAAAAAAAGGATTTTGGAAAAAGATCTTAGCTTGTGCGCTAGTCATTGGTGGCAACTAATGAGACGACAAGAACTAACGCCGCATTTCCGATTATTGCTTTATATCAAGATTATTAGGGTTTGTTATCATTTGAGACAGGATCAAATGAAGGCGCAATGAAAAAAGAAACATTTATCATTTCTTCCCTTTGGCAATATCGGATTTGGAGATAATTGGTGTACAGTATCTCATTGGTAAAGTTTTTTTCCTTCTTTTTTTCATTAGTATTTTTTCGCGCTACCTTTGCCATAGTGGGTTATTTTTGGATCGAACCTAGACTGACATAGTTCTAGTAAAAGGTGCTAATATTGACAGGTCATTAACAAATAATAAATGAATAATCGATTTTCCAAATTTTCTTTGCGCTTTACTGGAAAAGGMGCATTTTAGTCAAGGTCTTAGGTATTATAAAAACGCAAACAATAGCGCAAACGTCTTTGTACGGTAGCTGGAACGTAAACAAGAGAAATGGAAGAGGAAAGACGTGGAAAGATAGACGGAAAAAGGGAGGATACTAGTTTATAAAATACAAACCCCGGCCCGCACCCCGGCCTACGGGCAAAAAATGAAGTCGTAATTATAATTTTTGAGTTTCTTGATTCTAAAATTTACAAGGGCACAAAACATCCTAAGAAAATCGAAAATCTTTTTGGTGGCGAGAAGAACCAAATTGCAATTACATTTTTGGGGTTTCTCAGTTGATTCTTAAATTCAGGGGAGAAAAAATCCTATAAAGATCGCACATCATCTTGCTTCGACTTCACCATTTTTAATGCCATTAAATGACAGAAAGAATGAACTAAAGCATATTTTTGTGACTAACAGTACTACATTTTGAAACTAAAGAAAACACCATTGTTCAGTTTTTTCTTTTAACATGCAGATTAATGAATAATCAAAAATTGCTTCTTTTTAGATTCAAATAAACTGTTCAACAACAATAGGGTACCAGTAGAACAATACTCAGCTGCTAAAAACAAATAGAACTTTCTCGAATTCGGATTGAATGACCAGCAATCAATGGCTCCAAGTCAAGATTAACGTTGATGTGTGTTCATCATAACATTTACTGTATTTTATCAAGTTTTGGAGAAAGGTTTATATCAAGAAAACTCGTACTGAATCTCTGTGATAATAACTGAAAACCAGAAGCGCAAGGAAAAGCAAACTACCGGCCTAAGATTTACTGCAAAAAATGAGTTCCCCTGGATAATGAATTTTTTTTTTTGTTTCTTATATGTTCATTCGGTTTTCTGTTGCTAACAATACATCTAAATATCTAAGGCATCTTTTGAAATAAATATTAGTTAGATGTGTTGACTACCCGAAAAATAACACTAGCCACTAAGGCACTAACTGATTTTTGGCAGACCCTCATGCTGACGAAAGAGATCGCACCCTACATCAGGGCTGTAAAAGATCAGCTCTGTTAGTAAATGGTGTCATAAAGATTTACTGAGATTTTCAGCCTTACAGTCAGTATATTTATTCCTCCTCGATAAAAATAAACCCTCTTTAAGAGATTAAATGCATGGTTATATTGACATTCCTAAGAACTCCTTGGTTACTCGAAGGAGTAACTCGAACCCCCCTCCCCCCTAATAGTTTCATTGTAGCTCTACGTGCAAATATTTTCAAGTTTGCAATACCCGTACGAAGATTTTGAGAGATACCATGTCATTCTTTTTTCTTCAGAACTTATGAAATTCATAGTAATCTTAGTAATCAACAATATTGGAAGCCTGCTTTGTTAAGAAACAAATCCGGTTCTTAACTATAGATTAGTCAATCTATTCAATGATATCCTAAGGGAAAATTATATTGTACAGTATGTTTGTTATTACTACGAAAAAATTACCAATGGACAATTGTATATTGTAAAACACAAGTACGCAAATCGCTGATCAACTCCAAATAAACTGAAGAAAAAATCTAGGTTAAAGTGATTAGTATCGCCTAAAGCACTTCCTTGGATAAGACTGAGTCGTGAGTGGCTTCATCTAGTATTAATTTTAAGCATATGGGCCGTGGAGATATGCGTCACTCAACCAATGATTATAATGTATGAGTTTTTATTTAATCTTCTGGTTGGCAAGCTTGATCCACTTAATTTATACGCAAATAATCTTTGAAATTTTTCGCCTTAAGGCAAATAGCTATCAAGTTGCACAAATTACAACGAAATTTCGTGAAAATATGAATTAATAATAACATTCCGTGTTGAAAACTCAAAATGGCATATCGGTTGAGATGTTTGTTGTAACCTGTCGTCGCCTCTGTTTAGTAAAATAACATTGTCACTTGAGACGGCCTAAATGTTCCGCAGACGCGCGTTGATTCATAGGTGTATACATTATTGTCCTCGAAGATGTTGTCAGGCAATAAAACCCTAATAGAATGTAGCTCTTCCTCATATTACATCTTTGCCATCCTTAAATCGGTTCTAAAAAATAGTCATCACTCGAACCTGTAAATGTTTCACCGGTCGGAGAATATTTGACACGAATAATTAAAGGTGAAACTATGGTTTCAGTGGTAGCAGGGTATCTATCTACACAACACACGTGACCTTTCGGTAACGCACGTATAATTGTCGAAGATCCAAGCAACTCGCATTTGCAGACAAGTACCGGATAGTAATAATTCAGCCGGCTTCTACATCCATGCCCTAAAGCACCAGATCATCGAAACCAGTAATTCTAAAGAAACGAAAATGGTAAGTAGACATAACAACATAATCATTCAAACGACAAGCGAATTAATAAAATTGCTTATGCTAGCTCATTTGAAATTATGTTTGTTTTGGTAGTATGGCTTCATCCACTGTGCTTTGGCTGATCTAGTCGTCGGCAAGTTCGGCGAAGAAGTATGGCGAGAGATAGTGTACGTATTGAGTTCCTTTATTCTTAGATAGTAAATTTGATGGGGGCTTTTTTCACGACGAGTTGAAGTAAAGTGGTTTTTAGTGTCGCATCAAATGTTGACATTTGTGTATTGTCAACTATAGCGCCAAGGCAGGAGTTGAACTTGGTGGTGGCTCGTATTTGATTCACAAGATCTATGATGACCAAGAAACGTTAAGTTTGGTGGCAGCTGCGTGCGAAACTCTTGGTAAGAATCATCCTAAAATTCTTAGACAGGCTTACAACATTATTTGCATTAATGTCAAGTCTCTGTCACTTAGTATTCTTTCATGTTTATTATCTAACCAGGGTTAGAGTTGAATACTGTTCTGGAAGTCTTTGGAGCGCACTTTCTTGAATACTGCGTGCAGTCGGGATATGATCGCATATTGCGAGTTCTTGGCCGTAATTTGCGGGACTTCTTATGTAATCTGGATGCTCTCCACGATCATTTACAATCAATATACCCGGGAATGGAAGCGCCTTCCTTCAGATGCACGGAGACAGATGACGGGACACTGCTGCTACACTATTATTCCAAACGTCCAGGACTTTCTTATATTGTCATTGGGCTTGTCAAGGCGATTGCTAAGCAGCTGTTGGACACAGAAATGACGTGCGACATTCACCAGGATCTGGATGAAAAYAATGACCACGTTATATTTGCGATTCGAGAAGTTGAATGCAAAAGCCCTACAGCGTCAAAGCTTGGTTTACAAACTTTCGACACAGTAGGTCGGGGAGCTAAAAAAGGACCCGCAAGTGATGCCGCTTGCTTTACAACGCGCAACCCGAGTGAGAATCGCGGAGAAAAAATGAGCTTGCTGTCTTTCTGCAAAGCTTTTCCATTTCATGTCATGTTTGATCGTAACCTGCACGTTAAACAAGCAGGTCTATCGCTCATGCGTCTTATTAAATATAACCCAAAGAGCACCCTGGTGTTTACGGACATTTTTGATCTTGCACGACCGCGTATGGATTTTAGTTTTGAGGCAGTAATATCACATATAAATACGGTCTTCATAGTGACCACAAAACCTGGAGTTATCGGCTTTCCTTTAATTGACGATCCCACATCTGAGACCACAGAGGATGCTCAGCAATCAATATTGCGGCTCAAAGGCCAGATGTTGTACATCCCTGAATCTGACTGCCTACTGTTCCTATGCTCACCGCGCGTATCTAACCTAGATTCATTTAGAGAGAAGAGCCTTTACTTCAGCGATATCCCCATCCACGATGCTACCCGTGACCTTCTATTCTTGTCTCATGCGCGCCGAGCAGAAAGAGAGCTAGTGGAAAAGCTCGAAGAGACGAGTAACAATTTGAAAAAAATTGAGAGCAAGTTGATTGATCATAAAAAGAAAACCGATGACCTTCTTCACTCCATTTTGCCCAAAGCAGTGGCTGCAAAGCTACGGCTAAATCAACCCGTGCCAGCAGAAAGCTATAAAGTGGTGACCATTTTATTTAGTGACATTGTGGGTTTTACTGCACTCTGCTCCAATGATAGAGTAGTCCCTATGGACATTGTCAAGCTGCTGAATAAACTCTACACGTATTTCGACATGCTCTCGGGAATGAATGATGTTTATAAGGTAAGAAAGTTTAAAGGGTGTAGTGAGTAACATTAGTTTTATACTTGACCCTCAGCGTGCGTGCTCTACATATTTCCGTCTATTTTCTATATGTGTTCATAACAATAATATTTTATCTTTAAAATATAAGGACGTGACAAAGACCACTAAGGTTAAGTATGCTTACACCAAATCATTAACAAGAGGTATTTTAAAATACTTTACTCTCGTCCAATAATTACTGGCTGTTCGGTATGATAATAGATCCTTCTCAAATCAAAGGGTCTTGCGATTTTAACAGGCTTTATTATTCTAGATAATGATCCAAATAATCTAAAAATAGAGAGAGAGAAAATTAGAGTCCGATGACCAAGATATCCTAACTAACTGAAAAGTATAATAACTGATCGTCCAATCCTCTTATCATAATTCAGTAATGAATTTGTATAGCAACGGATACACAGATACTGCTGCTAGACGCATGAAGATAAAAATATCTTAACGACGGTTGAAATTTATTGATAAGTCGGGAATATTTTGTTGACAAACGAGGTTGCATAATATAGGTTATATTAATTTTGGAATGAGGTGGTGAGAACTAAATTTAGCCTACATTTCAGCAAATTCCCAGTCCCGAGTATTATGAATATTCGATTTTACAATTCCGATTTCCAAGTTCCAGTTTTGTAATTTTTCTAGCGCAAAACTAAATGATATTCTCATTTCTCATTTTACCCCTTTTGGACATACATAATTGAAAAAGGACAAAAAACATCTGCCCTTAGTTTTACTTCAATAGCGATCAAACGAAAGAATAATCCTAGTTTTTCGCATAGGTGTATATAATTCTATTATATTAGTTATCAGCCGAGTATTTCAGACTTCTAGCAATATACATCTTATATGAAAAACAATTAAGACAATATGTAAGGTAAGAAAAGCCTTTTGCTTCTTGYGCCGATAAAATTTGTTTACATAGCGAAACCTTATTGGTTGGTTTTAATAGGAAACCGCACCTGGTAATGGACTGTACTGTACTGTACTGTTAGGCATGAACAAACACTAGAGAAATTATGATAAATTGCACTCAGAAAATGAAAGGACGTAAGGACGTTTCGGCTCATTATAAGAATTATCATCATAAAAACGAAAAACGAAAAGATCCTATCATATTATTTTGGTATTAATGAAATATCCTAGTTGTTCCCATGTTTTCCGAGATTCTAATGCTTTTTAGGTGCATTTATTTATTCATTGTTTTTTTTTTAAGGCCAGTATTCGAGTTTTAATTAAACTGAGTAGCCTTCAATGACTTTCCTGGAGTAGCAATTTGTTCAAAACTTAGCGTTTTGAGATTCTAAAGTGAAAATAAGGAAAAAAAGAAATAATCTGGAAATCATTACGACTCACAATGAAAATAAACAAAGACATTTTGTGAACACCTTTTTAGCAATATCAAAGATAAAAAAGACATTGGGCTTCTTAAGGTTTCCTGGTATTTCAAACTCGCGCTGACCTGACTTTATCAGCAAGTGATTTTCCTTCCTTGGCGGTTAAGGCATAGAGTCACTCAATAAAAATGGAATTCCCAAAAACAATTACAAATGGGAAACATCAAGTATCTGATAAGGTCTATTGTTTAATCAGCATGCACCATTTTAGCAGGAATAGAAATCATAGAAGAATCCATTAAATTTGTACCGAACTGTCAACGTAGCCAACGCCATGAGAGATGGGATTATTCTAATAACGATATTTTCGTACGGGGCATTTTTATTGCAATTATCTCCGCACTTCAAACGAATAAGCCCTAAGGTAAACACTTCTAGAACCATTATAATTCCAAGGAATATTCCTGTCTTCTTCTTTTTCCACTTGATATTCTTTCAAGTGATAAAACTGATCCTTTTTTTGTCTCTTTCTTTATATCAAGTTCATTTTAGTGGTAGTTATATTCTTAGCTAAGTTTTATTTAGCCAACTTTATCATTTACTTAGGGCTCCGTTAGAGCTTTCCTTGTAGCACTCGGCAAACTTTGATCTCTGTCTAATCGGCTTTTTAATTAAGGGTCTTCTTATAGGAACTATTGCCGAATGTAATCGCTGATGAGAATCGATCAGTATACCACATTGATTAGAACTGTTCTTGATTAGTCGGGAGAAAAAGGCATGATGATACAACAGTAAAGATCCAGTAAAAAAAGATAACAAAAAATCCCTCATAGTTCGAGTTTATAGGATTAATTTCCATCTATACAGTTCGTTTAAACCTCATCGGCTTAAGTACTTTAGCACTTGATAGCTACTAATTACTCGGGATAGCAGAGGCTTAACGGCTCAGAAATGAAACATTTATGACAATTGTGTTCATCTATCGAATAATGAGATATAAAGATTGGGCTTTGTTTTGAAATAAAGCAAAAAGTGTTCTTAAGGAAGGAGAGGATATTCATTTTGTCTGATATCCTGACGGTAATCGATGTTAACTTTTTGAACCCTTCATCTTTTCTTAACCCAATTGGCACGAGTGTCATGATGATGTAATCTTTTAAAAAGACCCTTTTTTCATTTTCGAAAAGCGTAATTAACAGATGACAAATAACATCGTAAGCCCTTATTTATATAGAGTCATTATAGAGAAGCTAATTTGATCGACAGCTATTATTGATTTTTGTTTTCGAAACCCTGTGTGTATTACGGTCTTTTTTTATGTATATATATGTTTTACAACCACCACTCCCCATGCAGGGCTCTTCCGTGAGGTTCCCTCCACACGCACTACCACTACATTCTATATTTACAACATACAACACTCAACTCACATGTTGCTTTTTACGGAGGGAGGAAACCGGAGATCCCAGAGAAAACCCTCGTGGCAAGGGAGAGAACAACACAACAAACAAACTCAACTCACTTATGATCCAGTCTGAGCCAGGACTCGAACCAGGACCGCAGTGGTGTACTCTGCGAGCAAAGGTTTTTTTCTGACCCTCCGTGGGCCAGCCCACGGAGGGTCAGAAAAAACCTCTGCGACTGAGCAGGGTATAGTGGTGAGAGGCGAGCGGTAAACCACTACGCCACTTATGCCACCCACGGTTGGACTGACTTAGAATTTCAAGTTTGTTCATATATTCCCATTACCCTGTACACTCCACGAAATGCGCACAACCAACGAACTCATGTCGCATTAGGTTACAGACGAGCCGAGAGCAGGAATAAGATCAAAATCCTTACCACTCCGAGTTCAGAAACATAGATGCGCAAATTCATATAGAGGTGATCACTTCGAAAAAGGAAATTAGGGTTGAATTCTCTAGTAAGCTTCTCCGGAAAACTCTCGTGTCAATAGGAAGTTGAATTCATTAAACGCTGAATTTTTCCATTCGGTCTATTTTAGTATCGACTCCACCCTTACGGAAAACCTACTAAGAGATAAACAACGTTGATTTTTTAGAGGCCAGGAAGTAGGTTAGGAACATATACTATGAGCGAAAGGGATGGGGTGAGAAGGAGGATGATGGGAGGTGACAGTAGGGGTCATACTACCTTTCAAATTGTGAGGGTGAGATAAAAAAGTGCTTCACAGCCATTATCCACAGGGTGTTATTCAAAAAGGAAGCTAATGAGGAATCGTTTTGTTAAATACCACCAACTTGGCTGCGATAACGTGATTTGTAAACAAAAAAATGACGAAGCTACGGGGTGGGCCAAAAAGCCAAGGCAAGTGAGGAATGGGCACTTTTCTTCATTTGAAAAAGTAAGTTGGATTAGATTTGCTACTTCTTGTCACATCCCGCATTCTTCCAAGATATAATTCTTCTAGAAAAGTTGAGTGTCAAGGGGTGAATATTCGCCGAGTGTTGCATCTAAATATGTACTTATGATATTCTAGTCTCATTTTGACGTCTAGACTGATCGATTCGACATTTTATCCAGGCGTTTTTCATACCACATGGCGCTATTTATATTCATTTCAAAGATAGAGTATCTGTTCTAAGATGCCAATGGAATTTTGAATGCTGTCTATACTTACCAGATTACTATTTCTTATCTGGCACGGGCTTTAAAAAATAGGAAAGGCAAATAGCCTATTTCGGTAGCGCTATATATCATGAAGAACACAAATTCAGAGATCAGAATAAAACACACAAGGCATTTTGCCATATTCCATGGCATTTTATCGTAAGAAAGTCACGCAACGAAATATTTTTCATATTTTCAGTGAAAGAAAAACAGCAGGACGTTTGCCACTACCAGAAATTACTTCGAATTTTCTTTTCTTTTTTTAAATTATCATGCCTTTATGCGAATAGCAAGACAAAAAACGTGCACAAAGGATTATGGTAGTTGCAGTATCTGATGCTATGATGAAACAAGCTTATTGATAAACGCAACAATATTTGCACATGGAAAGTCATGATACCGTCGAGAAGCCCTCTAAAAAGTTTCACATGAAAACACTGCAAGAGTGAAGAGTTGACTAGCGAAGCCGTTGAATCGAAGTCGCAGCGTGAGAATTTGGAATACTTAGGTTTCTCAAAAAGTATGTTCAGGGCAATCTGCAAACCACTGTTACTTGAATACATGGATAAAGCCAACGCGCATCACCTGCGATTTATTCGCGACTATGGTCTTTAATTTTTTAATTTATGCATGGTTTATACCTATTTATGACATGGTTTATAGATCGATGAGTGCCTGCGAGATCTGAGCAAAATTTTGGCTTAAAGTACCATGATTTTCTCCTATTTTTTCAAAAATTAATGAAAACCCTGCCAGGACTTTCCGGCTCTTCTGATCTTCTAAGATTATTTCAAAACTCAATGAAAGCCCTGGAGCGGTCATAATAATCTGGTACACTAAAGGATTGCTGTCTTTATACGATTGATGAAAGAACTCGATAAAATATATAAAAAGAAAATGTATATCAGGCCCGTAGCTAGGATTTTTKTKKKGGGGGGGTGCTAATTTACAAAAAGTGGACCAACCATATACTTTATTTTTTTAAAGTCCCATAGGACGCATAGGTATAGATAAATTATTAAAGTAAAATTGATTTTTTTTACTTAGTTTTACGTGAAAATATCATACCAGCCAAAATCTCACTTGCTTAAAAAGCGGACCTTTAGCTCGCGTGGGGGGGGTGCGAACGCACCCCCTGCACCCCCCCCCCCCTTACTACGGGCCTGTATATAAAGGAACACCTCATCTAGTATGCTTTTGTTGTTGTCAGGTGGAGACGATTGGAGATGCCTACATGGTAGTTGGCGGGCTTCCACACCCTTGTGAGAACCACGCCCAGAAGGTGGTAAATATGGGCTGCAGTATGATGGAAGCCACTGATGTAGTGCATTCTCCAGTTGATAAAAACCCAATAAAGGTAAGTTTTTATCCTAAGGAAAGTTTTAAATTTTTAACAACTACCAAAATAAGTCTCCATTAGAATAGTAGTAAGAGAATATAGCTAATTGTAATACTTCGGAAATTTGACCTTGGGATTGAGAGGGGCAAATTGGAGGACCTCCTTTAGTACCTGCGCGTTACAGTTACGTTGATTTTCGTCGAGATGTTTGCTTGATTATGATCAAGTGCATTTTACTACGGTTGACAGATCCGTATTGGTATCCACACGGGGCCTGTGATGGCGGGAGTTGTTGGTAAGAAGATGCCTCGGTATTGTCTTTTTGGAAGTACGGTTACCTTGGCGAACAAGATGGAGTCCGGTTCTCAACCAGGACGCATAAACATAAGCATTGATACAAAGAAGTAAGTATTGGCTTGAGGTAGTAATACTTTCATATCCGGATGGGGTTACGTTTTGACTCATTCTGAAAGACCTACCGAACGGATATACAGTGATTTTCATTAGACCCTGAAGCCTCAGATATTATTTCCATGGTTTTCTTTTGTGCCTATTTTATTATTATTCATAGCTACTAGTTTAACGGTCTGAAGAAAATCACTCTATCGTGTCGCGCCGTGACCTTGGAGGTGCAGTAACCGGCAACTACTGATTGGATGAAGCAGTTTCATTTTTCTTCCAATAATGAGCATGATACTAGATGATATTTTAAAAATCCAAACTCGTTACTAGTCATGCTGTGATTTTTTGCGAATTCTATTCCATGCTAATAGAGTACTGACATTTTCACTGGATGACTGAAGAGATGCTCACTGTGTTGGATTATATGACGACAACCCGTTAGCAAATACATGTTCATCCAACATTTCGGCCATGACGACAGTTCGGTCAGAGATATAAAACAAGAATATAACAACTCCTAGATTCATAAGTCGCAGTTGCAGTAGAGAATTATTAAGTAGCAGTGGATAAGGGGGGGGGGGGTTTAGAAAAAATATAATTTTAATGTGCTATGATGTTCTATCTACAGCCTCGTTGATCAAAATGACTTCACCTTTGAGTCCAACRCATTGGTTGCCAACCCTCTTCCATGCTTTTTTGTCAAGAGAAGTGCTTTGGCTGCAAGACGAGCGTCTCTTGTTGACATCACGTCATCTGTTGCGCCCAACAGTATCTGCATGTTTAGATCACCCATTGGTTCACCCACTGAATCACCGGTACCACGCAGGCGCGCGAGMTCGGTTGAGCCCGCACCGACTCCAAAAGAGACAGATAAACAATTTCCAGTTTGCCCAATGAGAAGGCGAACTACGGTTCATAAAATGCCTTCGAGAATCATCAAAGAAAATGGTTTGGCTTCCATGCCCGAGTTGGAATACGTTTCTGATGGTGTAGAATTCAACCTGGATGATTCGTCTGTCGTAGAAACGGAAAGAGAGAAACTAGTAGCACTGATGGGCTTGCATGATAAAATCGATGCCATCAAGCTCAACAATGCCCATACACAAGTCAGATCCAAAGAAATCTAACCATGCAAGTAATTAATGTATAACATCAATTCTTAGGCTGCCGCTGTCAGTTCTAAGTTCATTTCCGTATGGAACGCCACACCACACTTTGCAGTCAGTTTACCTCCTGGCATTTTCCGCCAAAGATTTGATTTTAAAAAAAATTTTTACCACTAAATAAAAGTAAAATAAAAAATAAACATATTAGCACGAACTGAAGAACCATGGAGTCAATGTGTAGATAGCCAAAAAGTGTATATATCATAATCCATATCTAAATCATAAGATCATATTTTCAGTAAGGCAAGTTATTCAACTTGCAAGATATAAAATTGTCTTAAGCGAAGCTAGAGCATTTCAGCTTTGCTGTCTGAGAAATTTGTTTGAGGGAGTACAGAGGAGTGAAAGAGAAGAGTTATTGAGTTGATCATCTTTGTATCTTATTTAGAGTTTGTGCATATTGCATCAAAGAATGTTGGGCTCTACCATAATAAGTATTCTTATAATGAAGAGTAGATTGGTACATTATTTGACAATGTTGCTCGCCTTTACATAGCATAAATGCGATGTTTATTGCAGGTACCAAATAAAGGAGTCCATTTTTGCATGTTATTAGTACAGTGTACTGTAATAATGAGGGTGGTGTTATAATATAGTTGTCTCCCTGCTACGTTCATAAGACAGCGATACTCATAAAAGAATCCCTTTCTAATGCCAAACGTGAACCGTTTATTCTTAGGGTGCATCTTACGTCACATCAACTTTGTCCTTTTATTCTCAACATGCCGGAAAGTAATGCATGCCACATATCATTAATGAAAACATCAACGTTTTTTTAAAATCCCAATGTCTTTATACTTTATTTTCAATATTTGCTGCACGTCTCCTATCATGACTTCTTGAGTGGATCCACGCCATCTAATCACTACTGGTGACCTGATAACCTTATTGGCTAGTGCGGCATAGTACGTTATAGGGGTTGCGAATCACTGGACGGCTAATACTATACGAGTCGTCAGTAACAGGATTACGCAGTTTATCTGATATACCCAAATAATTCCAAGGTAACGTGAAGATCATGGTCAATAATGTCACGTAGCACACTTCAATTAAGAAACTATAGTTTATGAAATAGGTAGTCAGCGAACAGACTCTCTGGGGTTTGTTATAAAGGTAGCTGTAAGTAAGTGCTTCATTGTGTCGTGCTACTTAATTTATGGTTTTAATTATCATAAAGCCATTATGGCATAGTGGCTAAGAGGGGAAAACGCTCTCTTTGCTTACCTTTTTTATACGTCGAGGGATTTGCCAACACCCAAGGAAATGATATGGAATTGGCTGTTCGACTTCTGACAAACTTCATTATTCCAAATAAACAAATCCTGTTCTAAACAAAATAGAAATATTATAATCAGCGACTCCTTTTTAATTGTGGTCTATAGTTGGTAGATGAAACGGCATTTGGAAACAAGCACTTTTCTTTAAAAGATCAACAACCTAAGCTTTCAGTCGTTTTCCCCACCCTCTCCACACATACTCGAAATCAATATGTTCAGTGTCGGTTACGTAAGAGACGGCAATAAGTGTTTTTCTTCTAATTATCTGGTTATGCCAGAATTATAAGGGTCTATTTATCAAACCATCATTGAACTTCACTTACAAACTATAACTAAAAACAAAACTTCATTTCCAGTTCGTGGATGAATTATAGAAGTATATCTAAAGAACCCTTACTCGGATCTTAATTCAAGTTGAAAATTAGGTAATATAAAGACAAATACGTTTATAGACCCTAATGATATGCTGTTCAATTACTCTTTTGTCTCACTAAACTTCTGGTTCTCTTTCAATCCAAATGTGGCTTTAATACTTAGCATAATCACAATAAAACTATTAGTAGGCCCTTTTGTCACCGGCTCGCCGCGGACACCATGATTACTAATCTATGGTTAATGCGTACAAGACAATCATTGGTCGACAGTCTTTGTTGTCGCTTTTATATTTTTATTTTTCAACTGTTTAATTCTATGCATAGTTTGTGCGAATCTTTTACCTATTCGCTTTTGAATGAAGTTTATTTATGATTGGAGAGGAGTTTCCCAGTTAAAAGGTGTTTTATTCACTTTAGTTTGATCACGTAATACCTATGTACGTTTGGAAGTTCGAGTGGAAGGGGTTCAATAAGTGTTGACAGATGTTTTTTGGGCGTAAGAACTCGGCGATGCTTACAACTAATCGAGAGTGAGCAACGGAAGTGCAGTATTCTTAAAGATGTACAGGACTCATGCGAAGATCTCATAAACCACAAGACCACATGAATAAAGGAAAGAGCGAGAATTAAGGTAAGGAAATGGCCTGAGAACGTTAAAATACTGACAGTATAATAATCTTACGACAGACTATCGGTTAAATCAAACTACTCAAGGAAGCAAGATAGTGGCTAATCTTCTTAGTAATGTAACCAGAAAATCGTTCTTGTAATTTACCACCTAGATGTTTCCCGAGGTCTTTAAATTGCCATTACCGTCACTACTGTCATTAATATTTCGACAGAGCTCCTCTCAGTGTTTTGGGATCATATTGGTTCTCCAGGAGTTCACACTAATGATGCGTGAACAAACCAATGAGCTCTTTGCGCACCCAGCGGGGAGCGTACATTGAGGGGCTTATGCAGTTCTTCCAAAACAAAACCGATGTGATTTGATCAAACACGTTGTCATTAGTGTTGACATTTACGTCCCAAAAAGAAAACTATCTAGCTAATTAGATTTCAGCAAATAGGCCAAGTTAAGTAAGTGTTGCCTAGATACTGATTCTAGCGTTTGTCTCAACCAGCAATCGGGTTTTTTTGGGATACAAGACTGCAAACGAGAAGACCAAATCCCCAATCAGATTTATTGAGACTGGCTATGCAGTGATTAACAGCATGCAGGTAATGATTTTGTTAGTTTAAGCATTCTATACAAGATATAAACCGTTTAAATATTACTACGATTTATGGTTCAATATGCGGCTGTTTGGAAAATTCTAGTAAGCCTCTTTTGGAGCTGCTAGGGACAAAGGAGGGAACTACAAAAGTAGAGTGACTTAAGTAATGAAGACTAACAACATACAAAATCAAACAATGCTAGGGTCGTGAAGCTCGATTCGAACGCCGACTCAATCCTACATATATCCTTTTTAGAAAGTAATGTTGCACACAATCTTGCGATTGACGAAAAAAGCTAGTAGGAACAGTAGTAATTGTCAACCTCTTTGCGACTCAATCGAACGATGAAGTCAAACGAATCGAGCGCATGATTATTCATGTGTATTCTACAAGAAAGATTCTATTATGAAGTGTGAGCATTTGTTATTTGATGGATACAAACTTTCGGACAGGCAAAAGGGCGCATGAGATAAGATTATTACTTGGTGTAACCAAACAATTGCATGTGAGTGACTTTGGTGTCAAAAGTCTGACAGAATGACGATTCTACGGTAACTGAGCAAGCAATGACCGGCCAAGCAATCCAGCCTTCGACTTTGACAAAATTAACTTTAAGATCAAATATCATCGAAACAAAGGAAATGCTCAGTCAAACTTGTAGAAGAAAGCGTACAATGTAAATGGCTTTTATCTATTCTATGTACAAGCTTTAGGTGTTAATATTAACGTCAGTTCCAAAAATCTACCCTGTGTAAACTATTGCAAATAGCAAGGTTGTGATGCCTATCAAAGTTCTTGAAACTTAATCTTGACAAAGATTAGACGCAAATCTAAAGCCGAATAACACTTTCCTCTAAGATCAACTGAACGAGTGTACAAAAAAACTTGCCTAACGTTGTCAGATGTAATGGGGTCGTCAATTGGTGTTTATGATGTGTGAAGTGTTCTCTGTGTAGAAAGGCGGCACATAGGCAAGTGTGTACCAAGTTAACATATTTCCTTTCTAATAAAGATATTACCTTGATGAAGTAATTATCCGACAAAAAGGTATAATACCTAAACAAATTAGTGGAAGAAACTATTCTTGACGGAAAATGACACCCGGTGTTAATTTTTAAAATCATGATAGCTTTATCCACACGTATTTGCATAACACTAAGATATGAATCCACCAAAGCCATGATTAGACCGTCCGTCACTGGGACCGACTATCGAAGATCAGCCTCTGAAAAAAACCGATTCACTTAATTATATAACCATTCTAATAGTAAATTGGACATGAATTTTAAAGTGTTATCACACAGGAACACATTGCGTCCTAATTAAACTACATACTGAATATTAACAGCTTTCAACTCGTATTATTAACGATTAGCCAGTGGAAGGAAAGGAAAATCAAAACAGAACACACACCATTGAATTAAATAATAAACTGACCAATAGAAATAGAGCATGGCTATTCAGGTCGCAACATGATTACAAATAACAACTAAACGTTTATTCGTCTATAACTTATCTTCGGCAAATAATATTTAGGTATGTTTTCTCAATACAATTGAGTTTTTCTAAAATGACTTCATAATAATAATAATTCTTAAAAATATTTATCCTTTCAGCAACAGCCTTTTTTATTTAGCATCCGTCTCTTAAGTGAATGTAATGAATAACCTATTCCAATGATTAACTGGAACGCTTTTCATTTCCCATGGCCTCTAGACCTGATATCCCATCATCAGTTCCGAGATATACAATTCATAATTTACGGCTTTGATTTATCAAAGAATCAAGATGTTGGAACACTCTTTTTGGCAAAAACAAATGCACATCTTTCTTAATTTTCGAAATAAATTCCAGTCGCATTTGTTGAAACTGTTTGAACTTCGTTTCATTTTTTTGAAATAAAAGATATCTGCTTTTCGCTTCAAAAATGTTTTCATTATGATGAAACTATCGCCACCAAGGTTTTTTAAAATTTAAAGAAGCCACAGAAATTGTAGGCTTCAAATTTTGAAGTGTTTGTCCTGTTTTTCCCCCTCAGTTTTTCCAAGGTTTATTAGTAATCACTTATATTCCACAATGGATTACGCTCGATCCTTTTATAAGGACAACTTATTTTCTTGATCCTACTGCACTCGAATGACAAGAAACGCGACACACTTTCAGTTTCCAACAGTGATATTAGAATGTCCTAGCAAGGAGTTGTGTCTTGATTGGTTGGAGATCGCCGTATTGTATTCCAAATGAGACGGAAATAAGATATTTACATATTCCTTGAGATCCCTCACAACAACAGTTCACGCAGAGCACGGACTCAAACTGTTGTACAAATATATTGGCCCGAAATTTCAGGACTTGATGAAACGAAGAATTGTGTGATATCTACTCTGTTCAAGCCTTCAAAACAACAAGCGGTGCCATTCTTAGTCAAACCAAGTACCCTTGACAGGTTTCCAAAGAACATGGTAATTTGAGGTTTTAGTTTTTGTTCGGTCACATTTCGGAAATTGAGTTGAATTGTAGATTAACGTACATTCATCATTGACGACATTGCTTGACGGATTATATCGTATTTTTAAGCACAAATCATTCCTTTCTCAATTACTAAAGTGTTCCTGCTCTCATCGATTTCTTTTTTTAAAGCTTGAAAGGATAAACGATGTTTTACGACAGTTTGTCATTGACAAGCATGGAACAGACGCATGGAATAAAGCCCGGTAAGTAAAGGTTACGGTCATCACATTATATATACACTGATGTCTCTGCAAAGATTAATAATAGAAATGTTCATCTTCTCGATCAGCTGGTTCCAAATTATTAATCTCTTGACGTTTCTACGTTAGAGCGAAAATTGGACAAGTAATCCAAGAGAAAACGAAACAGAAGGCTACGAATGATGTAACGAACCCAAAAACACACTTTGGCGATTCCCTTGACTTTGCGCGCGAAATCATCAATGCTGTGTCACAAGTACTTGGTAAGTTGCATAGACACATCCCGTACTCATATTCCATTTAACCATTTTAGACTGTTAGCTTTTAATTCCACTATAAGCACCATTGGACGAACTGTCATTTACCAACATTTACAAACATGTTTATTGTGATATCCTAGCTGCGCAAATGAAGGCATTATGGATGTATTCTACTCGCGACTGATAAATTTCACTTTTTAATATAATTGGTTGGTCAACGAGAATGTACGCTGTGTTTTGAATAGAGTATGCGTTCCCTCGGGTGAATTTGTGTTTTGTTTACCAGACGATAGCTTTTCGATTGCTTCGAGAAACTTTACAAAAGTAAATGATTCATGGCGAGTGTTTTAAAGACGCACTTTATTCTGTACACAAACAGTCAAACTCCCATTAATCTTGTACATTTGAGAGTGTCAAAAAGTGTCCACTTGTGTATTTTTGGCATTTTATGGATATATGTATAACGTTTGTTGAAAGGTTTTCAAACTGCCAGCTCATCTTACAAGGTTTAATAGTCATTTATTCGGAAAAATAAARCTTAAATAAATATTTTGAAAAAAAGTGATTGAGCTAAAATCATCTGGAAAAGGTGGATTTGAAAATATAGCACGCCATATTAAATGGCAAYTACAGAAATAATTATCTTGCTTATGAAAGTAAGTATCTAATCGTAATTCAAAGAAATATATTACCAAACTATTCAGACAAATCTATAGGTCATAAGATCAAAGGGATGGGAATTTGAAGGTGAACATCCGGTCTATTGGGATTTCTTTGCGGCAAAAGTCAAGGTTCGTTTGCAGAACTTAAGCGTTTCAAAGGTAGTCGGCAAGATATCATGATGGGCATCTTGATGCGCGTCGCATTTCTTTACAAATCTGTCGATCAAATTTGCCTTGAGCCATTGAATTATAATGTTATATATATGCCCTAAGAGTAATTTTTAACCAATAACGGCTAGCACTTACAGACAAACGCCGGAGGGGAATACCCGAGTAAAATTTGAACGAAATTTCTTGATTGGCTTTTTGACATATTCTTTGACATATTCTGGATTACAGTTTTGCTTTTGATATAAATTAAGGCGTCAAGGAAAATATGAAAATTTCAGTTATTACTTTGTTAAAACATGAAGGTTTCATGGCCGGGTTGATTGAAGAAGACGAACTTGTGGGATATGCGCCAGACACTGAAATGTTTTAATCAGTTCAGTACATTGTCTCTTGCTTTAAAGGTTTAAAAAATAACTGGACATTGAGGCAGAATACATCTACGTCAATTTTCCCTTATTTCAGTGAAACTCATTCCATGCCACGACTTCTTTTGGGATGGATTAACAAGATAGCCTAATAGCAGCTCTCGAAATACTATATGCATGTATATTAATCTATACACAGTATGACGCATTGAAGGTGCGACGGAAACAGTTTCTAATTGAGTGACCAAAGGGGCGATGCCATCAAGAATCTAATTATACTATGATTTCAAGAACACTAGTACTACTTCTTGTAATAACAATGGATTGCTTTTATTATCTAGTAATTACCTCGTTGTAGGAGTAGCACAATTCTCAGATTTTTGCATAATCTGGGAAAAGATAGGCACTTTCATGGACTGTATAGCGGCTTTGCGTTGGTGAATAGCGACAACAAAATGTTTTGGCTTAGTAGGAGCCGTGTTTACACATTACATCTAATTTGTTTAAATAAAAGACTAGGATACCTGCAAAATGAGTTCTTCGGTCTCAGTTCCAGGTAGTTATGCAGAGATGCTTTTCTAACTAACTGTACGGCGTCCCTGACAGCACGCAATGCAACTTTTCAACATGTATAGAAAAGCAGTTGACAATAGTTTAAAAGCCCAGAGATTTATTTATACTGAACAGCCACTAAATGATTACTGATAGAGAAGATTGCTTTTTACAGTGAGATTAGCCACGGAAAAGCTTAGATTTATCGAGGTGCAAACAAAGACATCGGACAACCTTGAAGTCTGATTTAGAATAGGTTATCTAAATCCCTTTTTCACATAATTTAAAGCCATGTCACGTTGAATTGAAATCACTTTGACCCTTGTCGTAGTCTAACTAGGGCGGGCTTAGTCCACGCATCATGCAGAAAACTTTCTTTCAGACAATTTTTGTTTATCTATTCAAGATTTTCTTTTTAAGCGTCGGCATAAGAGAAACCAATACAAAAACAGATATGCTGATAGCTATTAATGGGGAAAATTGAAATAACATTACCGCGGTTGGATTTCCCATTCTGCCTTATTTCATTTTTTCAAAAACGTCTTTACTGCTTTCAGACTTTTGGTTATGTGGTTGGAGCTAAAATCGCAGACAACAAACAAGATTTTTTTTTCAAATCCCAGCTAACTTAAAGTTAGAAGCGTAACTTCCCTCTTTGAAAGACACCTGGAAAAAGCCGTAAATTAACAAACATACCCGCTCGCGGTGTTTTTGTTTAGAGAACAGCCTTCAACTGAGTAATTAATTGATGTTATATTAAAATTTATTAACAAAAGAATAAGTGTTTTAAATATATGATTGGCTACTTTGAAACTGACAATTTTTTCCCAATATTCTAAGAGATCCTATGCACACAGAATATCGCGTAATCTTAGATCGCAAAGCAACATTATTGGGTTATTAAAAAACGCAGCAGGGTATGATGGTATGATTAACTGTGTAGAAAATAGAGTAAGAAAGCATCCAATAAAGCACTATCGGTGCACAGTGTGAAAATAAGACAAAAAACATAAACAGGTTGGTAATTTGTTGTTAAGATCGTAGGACTTATTTTGTAGTAACAATCACCGGCGTGATGATGATTTTTTTTTTTCATTTCCATATCCAGCTGTATAGTAAATGATTTAAATCAGCGAGGATCGAACACATATTTCAGTGTCTCGATTTCGTCTCCATTCATTCGTTCGTTCACTCCTTCATACCTATAATACTAATTTAGCAGTCATTCATTCATCAATTTCTTCAACATCTCCGTATTCAAGAGTTCATTCCTTCATCCATAACAACATAACTAGTACTAGATTTATCGTAAACTTTATTTGTTTGTTCAACTGAATACTGAGCTGAGCTATTTTCGATGAATTTTTTTTTTGCTTTCCCTTTCCCTTTTCTTTCCTTTTTCTTTCATCGTCCTGTTTTTGTTCCTTTTACTGTCGATCTCGGATATTTAGCCAGGTAAAGTCAAAACTATAAATCTATTTTGTATTTTCACGTAAGAATATAAGATCAGCCGCTAAATATTTGCTATGTTATTTTTCATCGAACGAAAATGGCATGAAGGATTGTCGCATAGCTTCCCTCCAGGGCTTAAAATAAGCACTAGCAACTAGCAAAGTGCTATTGCTTTTTTGACTTTGCTAGTTGAAAAAATAGTGAAGATCTACAAGTAAATGTTTCCCGGATCTGACCAATTTTTTTATCAAGAAACTTAAATTCAAATGTTTGCAAGTGGAAATAAAGGTCACAACTTCGTGCCCCACCCTCCCCCTCCCTGACTTGAAAAGTAGCCCTCTGTCCATTCTTACAAACCATATGAAAAAGCACTCCGGACAAGAATTTATTTTATAAATAAGTCAGCTTTCGTTTTATAACGAGGAATATGTAGCAATTATTTTTAAAGACGTTTTTGGTTCGGTGTTATTTTAAAATAAATATGCCTTTGTTTTTATATTATCTTCATTTATTCATTTACTAATAGCACAACAAGAGCAGCAGAATCTAAAAATATCTACGTCTTAGGTCATTCAATATCGAGGCAAACTGCAAGTCAGAGAAAACAGTAAAGTATTGAAATATAAAACTGACACACCTCCCTGTTTTGACTACTACAAAAACTGCACAGTCAGTAGTTGTTTCTGGCTTTCCTGCCGAGGCATATCTTCACTTATCTTTCTCTCATAACTTAGTGGTTTATAGTATAGATTACTATATCATGCTGCTTTGGCTAAAAGGCTTCTTGATTTAACACCACCGTGATTATGAGAAAATGCAAAAAGATATCAATATTCAACTAGAATGTACATTTGTTATATACTAACTCGAGAGAAAGCTTTGAAATGAGAATCAGTATAGGAACATCGGATACTTTTTCATCGCCAGTCGTAAACTTCGAAATTAAGATACCTACAGTATCTCAAATCATCAACAGATTTATTTACTTATTATCAATGTATCCGAGAGCAAAAAACAAAAAACAAAAAACAAAAAACGCATCTTCCGCCTTTAATCTTCCAAACCAAAACATCTGCGCAAATAAAACTAAAAAAGTTTAAAATTCGCCAGGTAGTGGCTATCTTTTGATTCAAGCTGTCTCACTTTGTCGGAAGATTAACATCTTTCTATCCTTTACCCCCAATAAAACAAAGTAAGAGTTTTGAGGTTCGGAAATAATTGCCATGGTTACGAATTTACTTTGATTTCATGGATTACAAATAGTTGCGCACAGATGGGACGGAACTGTCTGGAATATATATATAAAAGGTTGTCGTTTTTGTATTTCATATCATCATAGCATTAAAAGATTACATCTTTTGGTCATTCTTTATCAATTTTATCATTCAAAACAATTCCGTATTTTCATTCAATGAAAAGCCCACTATTTAAGAAAATAACAATTCTTATCTGTTGTCTAGTCGCAGTTAATTACTGTAAACTTCATATAAGTCAACTATAGTGTAAACAAATTTAGATCATTTCCTTCATCAAAGAAAAGTCGGTAGCGAAATCGAAGAATCCACACATGAAATCATCATCAAAGTATAATGAGGTTTTCGACTCAAGAACTCAATCCAAAGCAATTTTACAAAAAACTAATTTGGCAAGTTTGGATAACAATCGCAATATCCGCAAACCAACGTTGGTGCTTAGGTGTGAGGTTTAATTAATACATTTAATTGATAGCGGACACTCGATATTACAGATTAAGCAATTTCCTCAATAATTCAACTCTAAAAAATTGGCAATAACATTTTATTAAGATGCCAGACTATGGATATAAGAAGCATTAATTTTTTGTTAAATATTCAGTATCAAAAGAAGCAGGCTGTACCGTATGGCATGAGAATTGGTTTCCTTAATTCCTGTATTGTTTGCTCAGGATTATCAAGGCTAACCTCATTGCTATCCACTAATGAAGATTACGCGTCGGGAAACTTCCTAGCTTACGTGCGCACGGCCAAAAAAATACCAACCCTTATAAAGTTGTTCACTTTATCTATGGCAATACAGGAAAGTAGACTTAAAATTATCGACATTTCAACCACAACGCTAATCGTCTGAAAGCCTTGTTTATTGACTATATAGTCTATTATGGGTCCTTTGGAAACTAATTGTTCTAGCGTTGCCAGCTTGACGCATTAGATTGTTTGTGTTGAGAATTCTTTTTGAAAATACCTAAAAGATCATCTCTGCTTAAACAATTATTACGTGCATGACTTTTGTAACTCACAGGATTAAGAGTTTTAGAAGATCTGATCCTTCTTAATTCGTGTCTGTGTGGTAAAGCCGATAGACGATTTCCAGTCTACAGGTAGGCTCGGTTTAACCACCACGGCTGGACGAATCGAGCCTAGTTTACAGGTCGCACAACCAAACAACTTGATCTAGTTTGTTATTATTTTATCGAGGGGGAAATGCATCAGAAGAGGATGGAAGTGCGTAATAATAATAATTAAAAAAAAAAAAAAGAAATAGAAGGGGGAAAAAATAGAATGAGAATACTGACTAAGAAAATGGAATAATGGAAAAGGAAAGAAAAATCAAAAGTAAAGTAAAGAAAAGGAAAAAGGGAATAGAAAAGAACAAAAATACAACAGACAAAATAATGGAAAAGAAAGAACATAAAATCAATAGAATGGAAAATAAAGGGAAAAAAGAACAAAGAAAAAAAATAAAATAAAAGAATGGAGAACTACACTCTATTAAAGTACTATCGCTATTTAACACGTTATTTAAATGAAGGGATTTTAAAAAAACTATACTGATTTTGTGGTTTACCATCTTGCATGCAACATGCCAAAGATAAAGATGTCACATATTTTTACTGAATTTACTTATATTTTTATATTTTTGTATTAATTCTTTTCGATTTTTAAGCAAACGGTTTCTCTGCGTGGTAAAAAATCCAGTATATGAGGACATAAAATAACACAACTAAGGGAAGGCAGGACAAGAGGCTAAAAGCTCAACTCTATTTTGAAATAAATATTCCATACTCTCTGTTTGTCTTTTGGGCATGAAGCTATTTATGAGGTATAGGTTGGATGAACTACATGCATATATGCTTCATATCATATAATGCTGGTCCGATGAAATAGTGAATAACATATGCGTAGGATTACTAATTTACTGAAGAAGGAATAAAAATAACCCCAACTTCAAAAAAATCTGAAACACGATGTGTTTGATATCTCAAAGTAAAGAAACTAATATTGAAAATGACTGTACTTGAATATTCTAGACGCGTCCTAAACTTCCGTATATTTATATATTTATATAGGGGACCTAGAGTCCTATTGTATTATCACCTGCCCTTGGGCGAATCATGAAATATATTAGAACATTCAACAAACCGTTGCTTACTAAAAGAGCCAATCGAGGATAACTCACCCCAATATTCATGGGAAATTATATTTATATTTGCCAGTATGGTATATATGCCAGTTTATCTTATCGTAGCTTTTGTTTGTTTTGATCAACACAGGCAAAAACATATACGATTTTCAAGAGGACTTTGGACGTGCCGCCTTCATGATATGTTTGCAGATGCCCCAAGGAAAGATATTACAATCCCTGGGGAGCTCACTGTGCGAGTTCCTAAACAACCTTGATAACTTTGTGGACATCTTTATTCAGGCGAATGAGCTACGCGACGCCAAGCCTCCTTCGTTCAAATGCATTGTTAAAGATGATGGACAGTGTTTAGAGTTACACTATTATTCCGTGAGACATGGATGGGAATCGTGTGTTGTTGGTGCTGTTAAGTGCGCGGCTAAAGTACTTTTTAATCTCAATGTAATTATGACACTAGTAGAGGATACAGACGTAGAAGATCATTCAAATGGCAAAATGGATCATTCAGTATTTGAAATAATGAAAAAAAGAGAGTCTTTTGCAGTAAAGAAGCACGCCCATTCGACGAATCCAAATGATTTAAAAATTAGTGTGCCAACGTTGTGCAGTGCATTTCCTTTTCATATAATATTTGACGAGAAAATGGAAATACAGCAGCTTGGTGTTGCACTTTTAAGACTGATAGGACACTCACTTGTACTACATGGTACAAGTATGGCGACTTATTTTGAACTTGTTAGACCGGAAGTAAAATTTACTTTCGAGTCAATACTCTGCAGGATTAACGGATCATTTCTGTTACTGCTCAAGTCTGAGACACAATCTGAACACGTTAAAGATAAATTAGTGATGGAACTTAAAGGACAAATGATACATCTTCCAGAGTCGAACTGTGTTCTTTTTCTTGCGTCGCCTCTCGTAAAAAAGTTAGAGCAACTCAAAGGGCGTGGTTTGTTTTTGAGTGACATACCAATACACGATGCTACAAGGGATCTAATACTCGTTAGCGAGCAGGCTCAGGCACAAGATGGACTCAAAAAGAGAATGGAACAGTTGCAAACAGAACTGGAAGTAGCTTCAAATGAGCTCGAAGAGGAAAAGAAAAAGACAGAAGATCTATTAAGTTCCATATTTCCTCAAGATGTGGCGACCAAACTTATCGATAAGCAGCCTGTCCCTGCTCGTTTCATTGAGAATGTAACTATGTTATTTAGTGACATTGTTGGTTTTACGTCTATATGCGGTAAATGCACAGCAATGGATGTTGTGGAAATGTTAGAACATCTATATACAAAATTTGATAAGCTCTGTGGAGAACTGGATTTGTACAAGGTAAGAACAAGAATTTAACAATAAGTAAATAAGAGAAAAACTTATTACTCTCATTCCAAGAGTTAGCTGGCGGTTTTAAATTACAAAGTCAATACTCTTGCTCTGTTTGTCTGTCTGTCTGTCTCTTAGCAACGAATCTGGCCAGCGGTAGACAGAAAAGTCGCATGACTGCACTGTCAACAGCGTTGCAGGTCGTGTTCACACGATGAAACTCGTTGTGCGCAACGTCTTAGAAGGAAACCTACTTCTGTAACGTGATATGTAAGAATGCGCACAGTTGTAGAGTTGGACAGAAAGTGAAAATAAGTGTTTGATTGAGCGTTGCTCATGCAACACATGCACGAACTGTTCGCGCCATTAGAGCCTAAGCATTCGTTCAGATTCCATCGAAAGAGTTCAATCAAACTACCAAATTGCGTTATCATAAAGTGAGTAATTCTCCATAACAAGTCGTTTTGGGACTCTTTCTCTCTCTCTCTCTCTCTCTCTCTAGGTTGAGACAATAGGCGATGCTTACGTAGTTGCAGGTGGGGTAGAGAGCTTGTATGGAACAGATGACGATGCGTACAAAGTCGCAAAAATGGCCTTGGGAATGATGGACTTTTTAGAAAATGCATTGTCTCCCGAGGGGCTGCCCCTTAAAGTAAGTCTTGTCGACTACATATTATGATATAATATATCATATCAATGCATACCATAAACAAAAAAGATCGTAAAAACAATGACCATCTTTTCTATTCTAGATGCGCATAGGTATTCATACAGGATCGGTGCTCTCCGGCGTGGTCGGTACTAAAATGCCACGGTATTGTTTGTTTGGTCACCATGTCACCCTTGCTAATAAGATGGAATCCGAAAGTGAAGCAGGTCGAATCAACATCAGCCCAACAACTTACGAGTATGTTGCTAAGTTATCTTGTTAAACTCCGTATTATTGTTGTTTACGACATTAACTTGTACAGCATAAATTTTGATTTAAATGTAAAAAACGCAAACATTTGGGGTGATGGGAGGGATGTGATCAGACGCAATAGAGGCGTTGCAACTATCATGTGATGGCAGCCATGACAGGAGGCACAACAATAGAGTCGTTCTTCCCCTGGGAAACTGAATTCTTTATCATGTAAATCACATTAGACCAGATTCAATTGTTCCTGCCTCCTGTCGTGGAGACACTATTGTTGACTCACTATTGTGCACGTTATTTAGTTAATATTAAATTTTATATTTGCATTAACAGATTAATTCGCGATGACAAGGGTCTAAAATTCATTCGAAGGTCGAAATCTTCTCTTCCTGATGGGTTCAAGATGGATAGTATCTCTGGAACCTGTTACTTCCTGGAAAGATTAACGACTTATCCTAGCGATGAAAGCCCTCCTTGGCAAAAGCTTGAATCTCCAAGAGTTTTAAGGAAAAGGTCTCCACCTTTGACCGGAAACCAATCTGAGCGTATTTGCAACTCGGATTCCATCAAAAGCCCAACCCTAAGTAGTAAAGCAGTTCCAAAGCCCGAAGTTACCGCAAACAGTGGTAGTTTTTTTCATGACGATAAGAATGGGAACTTTATTAAAAAACCAACGAAAGAACAATTTTCTTCTGAATGCTTTAAAGAAACATCGGTATAGAAGTGGACTGAAGACAAAACATCATCTTATGTATTTAAAATTAAAATTTGCAATCATGCAACAGATCTTGGCTGGCCAAGATATCACATTTATGATATGTTTATATAGCTTTAAGAAGCAATTAGCAAAAACTATGATTTGAGACATCTGCGAAACGTTTTCTAAAATGGCAGGCTCACAATACACTTAATTTCCATTCTTAAAATCTAATGCTATCATAACTACCATATTAAAATTTGTATTTACTGAAAAGATAAATAAAATTTATTTACTATACTTATGTGTACATTGACTTATAGATGCCGGCTTTGAGCGACAATGGGAGAAATCTATACTACTGTAATTCCAGAAGATGAATGGGATAACTGTTTTACTCTCATAGTAAATCCATAATATTATACATTTTATCCGCAGCTTACAGAATGAACATTAACAACCAAAAATTACTTTAAAATCCCATACCCATATATGTTGGTAACCAAGAAATGCAAAAGGCCCAGTGGCAGATACAGGAGGGGTCACAGTGTGTCCATGCATATTCCCCCTTCTAGCATGGAATTAGTTTGTCTATACATTAAAATGGCTGTACTACAGTCAATTTGAAATTGCTGAAAAGGTGCATCTTATTAATTTTGTGAACCCCAACCACTCAAAATCCTAGATCTCCCCATGAGGCAAAACCTTTTTTGTATATCAAAGCTTGCTCTGTACAAAAAATCGTTAAGGAATTGAAATAGCCAGAAAAACAGTATGGTGCAGTTATTCAAATAATATATTCATGGTAGGTATATGGTAATGCCACACATACCTGAGAACACACCACTGAACAAACCACAGCATGATGCAAAGCTCCAATATTGAATGAATCAAATGTAGCCTGTTCTACTAGTGTTGTCGGTGGTTCCTAAAAATAAAAGACGCGGTCAAATTGTGTACAAAGATCCCTTTCTCTCTCTTGGCTTATGTAAAATAGACAGAACATTCACTTTCTGGTCCCAGGTCCAGGCAATAAAAGTAGGGGGGGGGGGGGGGGGGGGAGGAGGGCGCTCTTTTATACTTTTGATAAGATTACAGCAATAATCTAATCACTGAACCTTGACGACACCAATATCGTTTTCAACAGCTGAACGACAGGATGTCCCAAAAAAACCAAATCCGAGAAAACAATACCTGAAATAAGAAAAAACGCGGGCGCACATATGGAAATAAAAGCAATACAAGTCAAAAGAGAAGAAAGTCTTCCGAGATAACCTCTTTAATCCTGGATAGGGGAATGGGAACGATAACAATGTTAATGTAATTAAAAGGCGCAACTCAATGCCTTATAAATAGAACTACCGTCGTTTTGAATTTCAAATAGCATTTCAATCATTCGTTTAATGTGCCGATCGGACAGCAGTCGAAACGATCGCACACTAGCGGAATAATCGGTGGATTATCTGTATAGCCTGCCTTTTATCAGTTATCTTTTTTCTTAAAATCATTTTTGAAAATGTACGGATACATAAATCGCGCGCTTCAAGATTTGGTTGTTCGGGACTACGGTTTTGAAGCTTGGATAAATATTTTGTGAGTTGATGAAGCTGTGTCGGCCGCAAACTCATTTATTGACCGTTCGAAGAAAACATTATTCTAATGCATGGTGTACTTTCTCATTCGTAGAAAAAGAGCAAACGTAGATCTTGGTGAAGCAAACGAGTTCAACGAGCGGAGGATTTATGATGATCAAAACACGACCGACTTACTAACCATAGCGGTGGAGGTTTTAGGTAAGAAGCCAATCAACTGAGATATGTGGGCACGGGTTAGTTGTTAATACAAGTGTTGTTATCCGGCGTGTAATTTTATTTTAAAGAATGGAGACGTTTTTCCCAGCAGGAGTTATGATTCACGGAATAAATTTGGTAACTTGGAAATCATAAGACGGCAAACGTGAAAGCCCAGAGTAAATATTTTGTGTTTTTGTCGCTCGCAATTTTAGATTTAAAACGAGAATGTTTAGACTGAGCAATTGCCAAAAGGTAAAAGCAAAGCTCGTAAGTTATTGATGCAACCTCGTGGCTAAGATAGTCGAAATAAAAATTACTACTGTCATAAGATCCTTAGCCTACAATCACTCCGGGATCTGTCGTCTACAGAGAAAATTACGTACTTAATTTAAAATGTACCATATTTGTACGTTAAATCATCTCCATAGTAATTTGCCATCAGTATATACAGTCTTGAAAACGATGTCAAAGTCAACGTCTGTCTTTTAGATTGACTGATGCTTTTGCCATATTGAGCATTCTTTGCAGAATAAATCCATTTACCAAATGGATTTTGGCAAAGACATTCAGTTTTGAGCTTGGAATGCTACTACCTTGCGTCATTTTTTTACTCCATTATATTCTACACCTTCACAGTGTAGAGGTGATGCATTAAAACTTTTTTTTCCAAACTGGGGTATTATAGATTAAAATGATCTGCAGATAACGAGATCATTTTTTTAAATACACTAAAGTCCACRCTCGAATCTAATCATGTTCAATGCCATCACAAATTGTTTTCATAGGCGTGACAAAAAATTCCATACTAGAGGATTTTGGGACGATGTTCTTTGAACACTGTCAAAAATCTGGTTTTGACCTGATGTTGCAAACACTTGGAGGGACACTTAAAGACTTTTTTAACTCCCTGGATGGCTTACATGAGCAAATGCTGCTTCTTTATCCTGGCATGCGATCACCTTCATTTAGAGCCAAGGAAAGCAAGTATGGCAGGAGACTGGAAATATATTACAGTTCAGAAAGAACAGGGTTAGAGTATTTTGTCGTTGGACTGATAAAGGCAGCTGCATGTAAGCTCTTTGGTATCAGTGTGAATGTTAAGGTGCTATCAAGTATAAGTGCAGACAGTCCATGGTCAAAAATCTTGGTATTGCCTCAAAGTGATAAAGATCTTGTTTACATTCTCCCAAAAGATGAAACAATGCAATTAAGAGAAAAGGAACTGAGTGTTATAACATTAGGCTCCAGAATCAGCAGTGCAACATTTTGCAGAGCATGCCCATTCCATCTCATGTTTGATAGCAACATGGTAATCTACCAATCTGGAATATCTGTATGCAGGGTTTTACCAGCCATCAAAGTTGGACGCACAAACTTCAAAGATGTATTTGAATGTATCCGACCACCAATAAAGCTGACATTTAATAACATTTTAGATTTTATAAACAAAGTATTTATTGTGAAGACAAAGGAGGGCTTGCTGGATTCAGCATCACTGACTACAGTTACAGAAGATGACTTTGGGAAACTGGAGTCACCATCCATGAGATTTAGAGGGCAAATGCTTTATCTTCCTGAATCTGACAGCGTTGTGTACCTGGCATCTCCTAGTGTTGTCAATCTGGATGGTCTGAATGAGAAAGGTTTGTTGATTCTTTATTTACTTATGGCTCTCTGCATAGGGTTTGTTGATTCTAAGCTTCAATAAAATATATGCCAGGACAAGCTGGCTAAAAATAAACCTGGAAACTATTCAGCCTCATCCACTTCCCTGTACACTTTCTCAGGCATGCCGGAGTTATTTAAATTGCACTAGGTCTATTTCGTCATTTAAGCCACCATGAAAAGCTAAGATATTTTATGCAGTGTTCTAGCTTAAGGACATATGATTTAARCATTTCATAACTCCAGCATTAATACAGTTATACCAGCTTTGGAACATCTGTGGAACTTCATTATAAACAATTTTTTAGTTCATGCAGTAGTTCATCATGAATAACATTTTTTTAAATAATGAAATTGTAACCATTTTTTAGGTCTCTATCTTAGTGACATCCCTATACATGATGCAACCAGGGACTTGATATTGTTATCAGAACAACATAATGCCGAGTTCAAGCTTTCACAGCGTCTTGAAATCTTAACTGACAAACTACAGCAGACATCCCGTGAACTTCAAAGTGAGCAGCAACTTACTGACAGGCTTCTCTACAGTATTTTGCCAGCCTCTGTGGCAAATGACCTGCGTCTTAGGAAACCAGTTATGGCAAAGAAATATGAGATTGTAACTATCCTGTTCAGTGGTATAGTGAATTTCTCCTCACTCTGCAATGAAACCAGAGAGCCTATGGAAATTGTTGAGCTTCTTAATGAAGTATATGTTAAATTTGATAGTCTTACTGATGGTAATGATGAAGTATACAAGGTTAGTGTGAGAAAATGTAAACATATGCAGGCCTTCTCTATTTAATACAAAGCTAATGATATCTAAATATATTATTTACTCGGATTTTCTCACAATTCTATAAATCTACATTTTTCAGGTTGAAACTGTTGGAGATAAGTATATGGCAGTCAGTGGGTTACCAACGAAGTGTGAAAAGCATGCTGTAAACATAGCAGAACTTGCACTGGACATGATTGATGTTGTTAAGGGAGTAAATGCCAGAGGATCACAATTACAAGTTAATAATTGACTTAAAAACTGTAATATTTAAAAAACAAAGTAATATAATATACTGTTATTGATTAATGTGCTTTTTTCTTCTTATCAAGATAACTATTGGGATTCATTCTGGTGAGGTTGTGGCAGGTGTCGTGGGACAGAAGAAGCCTCGCTACTGTTTGTTTGGAAACAGTGTCAACCTAACAAGCCGAACTGAGACAACTGGCCTCAAAGGAAAAATAAATGTATCAGAATATGCATACAGGTAACTCAAATATTATCAGGGCCCAGTGGCATAAAGACTGATGAAGTGGATAAAGATTCTATACACTGGATACTTTTATCCAGTGGATATAACTTTATTCAAACTTCATGCAGCTATCAGAATTCTTTGTAGAGCCTCAAGCATATAAAAAATGATTAAAATTACTGCTAGGGTGTATATTGCTCTATCTGATATCTTATACCCCTACCTTTACTTACATGAATTTATCATCCATCTTTATCATCAGGTGCCTTCTTTGCCAGACTCAAGACAAATTTGTTTTCAAGAGAAGAGGGCCTGTCATAATGAAAGGAAAGAAAGAGCCCATGATTACTTTTATCTTAACAGACAAGAAGAATTGAATCCTTAGTGTATTAATTCATGAATTATAGAAATTCAGAGTGATGTAGGCTGTAAGATCCTTCTAACAATAATTATTTTAATTATAAAGGGGAGTAAATTCAGCAACCTTTCCTGTTCTGGTAAAAATTATAACATGAAGGTCAAACTTTTGCATTACAACTGCAACAAAAAGTTCATATCGTACATACAATAAGATATAATTTATCTGATATGATTTAACTGTTTAATATAAGCAAACAAAAACTTGCTACAGTACTTGTATTACAACTTTTTATGACTAGATACAGTAGCACTATAAATTATGTTAGGAACTACCAGGACAATTTGGTCTACAATCCTAAAATTATATAATATATGTAAATACCATAACTAACTTTTATATTTCTCATATGCAACAAAAAGGAGAGGACTAACTGATTTATATTTTAGCATTGCAAGGATTGCAGAGAGGCAGCAGAATTGGGCTTTTTAAAACTACCTCACCTAAAATTCCACAATTTTTACTATTATCTTATCAATTTTTCTATCATTAAGACATTATTGTTGTTATGTTTTTATTTGCGCAAATGTAAAACATTTTAATGAAAGAAATATGGTACTGTAGGTTAAAATCACTTTCAAATAACCTCTATCATCTCTCCATCAGAAACTCATATCCCCTGTATCAGGAGTCATCGGTATTTTCTAGAATACCTAGTAATGTGTTTTATTGAATAATTAGTTTTATTATTATTTATTTTTTTCTTTTGGATTTTTTGATGTTACATGTATATAGGTTTAAAAATGACACCAAAAACCAAATAAAGTTATATGCATATATTCCCTTGACATTTGCACAAATACTTTATTCTTTGTTAGCATTTTATATTTTTGCAGTTTCATATTTTTCCTTGAAAGACATATGGATAGTAAAGTGGAAGTTTTGGGTCGCCCAGGAACAAATAAATGACTTCAAAAAGAAACCAAGAGTCACTGCATTTATAGACACTGGATTTAGAGCAATTTTGGTTTGACTGTGAAAAGCTCACCGCACGTACGGGTCTTGACACAGCAAAGCATATGCCAGACCAATCACACTGAACAAGAATTTACTCTCCAAACAATTAAATACTTGAAACAAGGAATAAACATTGTGTGGACACATTCACCTCCAAGGTTGATGCTCTGCATAAGTATGCTAGATAAATCACATTTCACAAGAAAAAAATCAGACAATCAAAATTCTAGAAAACAGCATGGTCCCTGCAAGGTATGCATATGGCACTGAGCTTTTCAAAGTGTTACAAAAACTGCTTTACAAAAGGGCACCCATCAGTAGACACTTGCATTTGTCTTCATGATATTTTATATCATACATTAATCTGCTTATCAAATTATAAACCCGATATTACAGACACTTTATAAAATAACTTCCATAAATGAGAGCATCACATGCTCTCACTTCCTATTTCATCATTTGTATCCAAAATGATGACCATTCTAATATTAGTTATTGGGGATTGGCAAAATACTTGAACAGTGTTGAGAATCACTCTGCTAATGGACCCTTCTTAGGCTGCATTCATAATGTATGGCAAAGGGGAGGGGCAGGTGAAATCTTTAAATGACAAAAAAATTCTTAAGACCCCCCTTGAAGTCCCCCAAATAAAAAATATCCCCCTGCCAGGCAATCTCTCGTACTTTCCAACCCCCCTAAATTTCACCTGCCCCCCCCTCTGTCATACATTATGAACGCAGCCTTAAACATATTGTGGATGCAAGGCTAACAACAAGATACAAAAAAAATCACACTTTTTCTCAATGGAATTTGTTGCATTTCTTGTTTTTCGCATTCAAGACAATTTAGAAGGGTGCATACTGTACGTCATACTTCTCCTAAACCTTCTCTCATATTTTCCCAATCCCTGCCTGCTTTATATAACTGTAGGCAGCACATGTACATGTTTTCTGTTTCTTCATTCTTTCACTGCAGTGGGGTATCAATGCACATTAGTTGAAACAATCAGAGATCATGTGAGAATTACTGGCTGTACTTCCAACTCTCACAACACCTGCACTAGTAATCCTCACATAAAGGAAATATTTTCTTTGTGGGCTTGCCTCATTCAATTCATAGTCCAGGTAAGTTATAAAATTCACACTTGTGAAGGTTCACAAAGGTTCATCTTGTTCCGCTTAAGTATTTGAGGAAATGACGCGTGACAGCTCAAGAATAAACTCAAAGTAGTGTTTTCTTTATACTAGATTTTGTTAGCGACTAGTTAAAAGAAAGGACAAACATTTCGCACTAAAGTTTAAAAAAATTGAGTCCTTGTTTAATTAAAGACATCACCGCTCGATCGGCTTACTTCCTAAAGAATGAATAATGACAGGAGCAAACAACAGCCGCAAAACAGTCGCAAATATAAAGAGAAACTTACCTAAAGAGTGAAGGCCACAAAGCAAAGTCTTTTAGCTTTATAATATTCTTGATATAAATAAAGAAGACTAATAAAATACTTTTTCTCCCAATACTTCTTCAGACTCTTCAAACTTGCAGAAACTAAACTCGAAATATCGGGCCCAGGTACGCACGGTCAAGTGATTGACGCGCGCGCGTATCAATTTTCCCGCCAATTACACAGGCTACCCAACTACAGCATATTTAATGGAGAATGTCTCTTCGTATTCACTTATATATGTCCTTATTTATATTACGATAGAAAAATTGCATGTCTCAAGTTCAAAATAATTCTTAATAGATCGTTGAGGTCAAGGAAAGGGACACCAAGACCAACATGTGTCTCTCTAGACTCCATAAAATCTAACTTAACACACTCCCTTCCTTGCTGCAAGACCATATGGTACAGCGCAGTAGATTTTCAACATGTCCTGCAAAGATAAAATGTACCTTGGATCCTCCTAGCTCAGGATTGATTCATGTATGCCTAGAGCTACAAATGTCTAGTTCTAAAAACTTGATCTTGAAGGTATGTATTAAAAGTTTTAATATATCATAAAGTTCCAGTTATTCTGGTTGTAAAGAGCTGACTATCCTTCTCCACTTCATTGACTTTATGTTGAATAACATTGATTTGTACTACATTGCATTGAAAAAAAATCACTGAACATTGTTATCTACACGCTGTGTTGTTTCAACAGAAAGGTAACAACTGTTTATACATACAATGGGTGGATGCATCAATTGAAGTTTCCTTCCACAAAACCTAACTTGAAACCTAGATACTAAGAATTTGAGCCACTGTATAAGGGGTTGTTGCAGGGTAAATCTTTAACATTTGAAGGTTTTCGCACAAATCATTCTAGTTTAATATATAATTACATTGAAAAATCACTGCATATGTTCATCTAGTTATGACATAAAGGTTATACAGTGGTTAGATGCATTTATTTATTTATTTTTTAATATGAAGAAAAAATGAAAAAGAGATATGAGAATTCAAGCTTTGGATGTGTTTCTCTCTTAGGTATCAAGGATGGTATAGTGCTAGACAAGTGCGCTTGCCTCTCACCTCTGGGGTCTCAGGTTCCATTCCTGGACTTGGCATCACATGTGAGTAGGGGTTTGTTAGATCTCTCCCTTCATTTGAGGTTTTTTCTACAGGTTCTTTGCTTTTCCTCGACGAAACCTAACATGACTGTAATTTCTAATTTGATTTGGGGGTTCTAAGCCATGCCCTGAGTTTGAACAGCCAAGGTGGTTCTTTTCTTTTCCTCCACGAAACCTAACATGAATGTAAAATCTAATTTGATTTGGGGGTTCTAAACCATGCCCTGAGTTTGAACAGCCAAGGTAACTATCCCATTTGGAGGTGTTCACACAAATCCTCCTACTTTCTAGTTCYGACCCAATTCCAAATGAAGAAAGAGCAACCATACCACCACTTCAATTTCCTGATATTGGAAAGTAAAGCTGGCAAAGACTGGAAAAATTTAATGTTCTTGAGGATTCCTGCTTTTGGTGCCTTCTGTTTGTCAATCATTCCTGTGGATGGTTTGTGGGAGGGTGGGGACTGTTTTGCAGCCTATTTGCACATGGATTTTTTGATGGGGGTAGGATTAAGG